GTGTCGTTCGCGCTGATGGTGGCGTCGTTGCGCCACGTCATCAGCAGCGTCCCGTCAAGCAGTGGGTTTCCCAACGATTAGATTTTTATGTCGCAGGCACTGACTCGTGAGTGATCGTGATAGGAAATCACGCAGTTTGGGAGCCTGTACTTGCTTAACGCTGTGCCTTCAACGATTGGATCAAAGCTGACTCGGGGGTCGCCGGTATTTCCCGGGCCTGGCAGTGGTGGATGTGAACCCGGTAAAATGAAGTCCCTGAATGACCAGCGACGGTGTTAACGCAAACGGCCTTTCCGTCAAAACATCAGAATGACCGAATAGTAATGAAAATGTAGTGACGTAAGGGCCGCTAGAGGTGAGCAGCGAACTGCATGGCTCACACAGGTGCTGCCAGCGTTTTGGTTACCGTGCGGAGAACACGACTGCCTTTCTGACAGACGTCTAATACATCTCAAATGCCTAGGTCTCGTCAACTAACGGACAGCCCGGGAGAGGGAATCGGCGGTTGAACAAAACCTCGAACGTGCTGCGATCGGCCCTCCATAGCAAAGCATTGGTTGACGTTTCTTACGGATTGTCGACCGGTGTCGGTTGCGGTCTCCGCCTTCCGTTTGATCACCCTGCGTGTGGCCCGGTAAGAGCACATGCTTCGCCCGACGCGCTCTCTTACAAAGCACGCGCAGCATTTCAGTCGAAGTCGTGCCCCCGTTCGAAGCCGTCCCGTGCGGGCCGTATCGCCGCGTCCACGCGTCACCTATCTAGTCATGTGGACCGTCTCTGCTGGCTCGTTTTACGGCCCCCCAATTGACCGCGAGCGGGCGCCCGGGGCGCGCGCCGCCCTCGTCTCGGCGCAGGGATCGGCCGCGTCCGGATGCCGCAGGCCATCGTCGGTCAGTCCCGACAGTCATCGTCCTACTGCTTGTGGCGCTGCCGTCCGCCGGTCAGCCGGCAGCAGCGTGTGCTCGCGGGGGAGGGGGCGGTGTCGCCGGTCAAGGGCCGGGGTTAACTCGTTTGGAAGACTGATACTTACTGGCGTTAGAGGGATTTCGGTGTTTGCTGAGCTCGTGCTTTGGCGTTTATCGACGGAATTACGCAGAATCGCACATGCATGTAGGCGCATGGGGTCTTTCTTTGCTTATGACTCGTAAAGTCTAGCTTTGAGTTGTACTGTTTTAATTGGCACTGATGCCACTCATCGGTACATTGCTGTCCGCATTTGGTCACGTCGGCGCTGGTATTCATGCACTTGTCGATAATCCCGAAAGCCGCGTTGCATCGGTGGCGTTTAGACGATTATATGCATATTATATGCTGCTGCGAGGGATCAAGCGCTTGGACCTGCTATCCCTGCCAAGTATTGTGGGGGGCCCCAGAAAGAACAGTTCCTACTACGTCAAATGCTATAGCAAGAGCCAAGAGTCATTAGTCCACATGATCTTTCATCCAGTGTGCAGAGAACTTTGCCCGTGTTAATGAAAGCGATTCGCTTATCCAATCGCTGAATCATTCATCCAAGTCCGAGAACATGGGAAGAACAACGGTATCCAAAGGCCGTGGCCACGACAGTTCACGTGTGTGTATGTCCTCGACAACCAAGTCAGCATTTGGCGGTGCGGCCGACATCACCAACCTGTCGAAGTTCTTGAAGAACTGAACGGCGAGAATGATCTGACTGAGGAGGAACACGGTGGGCCGCTGCTTGAACTCCTCGCGGAGCAGGCGCATCGCCTCCTCTTGTTCGTCCTCGCTGGGCGCGGCGTCGCCCACGGCAACCCGAGTCGCGCCGTTAACGTTCTTGTGCGATGCGGAGGAGGCGGCGGGCTTGCGGCGGCCGATGGCACACCGGCTGCAGTCCGCCCCCATGGCGGTGCGTCCCTGCCGGCGGCGTCAGATCATCGGTTATGGACCGCCGTCGGCCGGGGGGAGCGGGCTGTCCTGACGGGCTGGGGTCAGGTCACGGGTCGACAGTGTCTGAGAAGGGAGCGGACTGTCCTGACGGGCTGGGGTCAGGTCACGGGTCGACAGTGGCTGAGAAGGGAGCGGACTGTCCTGACGGGGCTGGGGTCAGGTCACGGGTCGACAGTGGCTGAGGAGGGAGGGGGCTGTCCTGACGGGCTGGAGTCAGGTCACGGGTCGACAGTGGCTGAGGAGGGAGCGGACTGTCCTGACGGGCTGGAGTCAGGTCACGGGTCGACAGTGGCTGAGAAGGGAGCGGACTGTCCTGACGGGCTGGGGTCAGGTCACGGGTCGACAATGGCTGAGAAGGGAGCGGACTGTCCTGACGGGCTGGAGTCAGGTCACGGGTCGACAGTGGCTGAGGAGGGAGCGGGCTGTCCTGACGGGCTGGAGTCAGGTCACGGGTCGACAGTGTCTGAGGAGGGAGCGGGCTGTCCTGACGGGCTGGAGTCAGGTCACCGGTCGACAGTGGCTGAGGAGGGAGCGGGCTGTCCTGACGGGCTGGGGTCAGGTCACGGGTCGACAGTGGCTGAGGAGGGAGCGGGCTGTCCTGACGGGCTGGGGTCAGGTCACGGGTCGACAGTGGCTGAGGAGGGAGCGGGCTGTCCTGACGGGCTGGGGTCAGGTCACGGGTCGACAGTGGCTGAGGAGGGAGCGGGCTGTCCTGACGGGCTGGAGTGAGGTCACGGTTCGACAGTCGCTGAGGAGGGAGCGGGCTGTCCTGACGGGCTGGAGTCAGGTCACGGGTCGACAGTGGCTGAGGAGGGAGCGGGCTGTCCTGACGGGCTGGGGTCAGGTCACGGTTCGACAGTCGCTGAGGAGGGAGCGGGCTGTCCTGACGGGCTGGGGTCAGGTCACGGGTCGACAGCGGCTGAGGAGGGAGCGCGCTGTCCTGACGGGCTGGGGTCAGGTCACGGGTCGACAGTGGCTGAGGAGGGAGCGGGCTGTCCTGACGGGCTGGGGTCAGGTCACGGGTCGACAGTGGCTGAGGAGGGAGCGGGCTGTCCTGACGGGCTGGAGTCAGGTCACGGGTCGACAGTGGCTGAGAAGGGAGCGGACTGTCCTGACGGGCTGGAGTGAGGTCACGGTTCGACAGTCGCTGAGGAGGGAGCGGGCTGTCCTGACGGGCTGGAGTCAGGTCACGGGGTCGACAGTGGCTGAGGAGGGAGCGGGCTGTCCTTGACGGGCTGGGGTCAGGTCACGCGGTCGACAGTGGCTGAGGAGGGAGCGGGCTGTCCTGACGGGCTGGAGTGAGGTCACGGTTCGACAGTGTCTGAGGAGGGAGCGGGCTGTCCTGACGGGCTGGAGTCAGGTCACGGGTCGACAGTGGCTGAGGAGGGAGCGGGCTGTCCTGACGGGCTGGGGTCAGGTCACGGGTCGACAGTGGCTGAGGAGGGAGCGGGCTGTCCTGACGGGCTGGGTCAGGTCACGGTCGACAGTGGCTGAGGAGGGAGCGGGCTGTCCTGACGGGCTGGGTCAGGTCACGGGTCGACAGTGGCTGAGGAGGGAGCGGGCTGTCCTGACGGGCTGGGGTCAGGTCACGGGTCGACAGTGGCTGAGGAGGGAGCGGGCTGTCCTGACGGGCTGGGGTCAGGTCACCGGTCGACAGTGGCTGAGGAGGGAGCGGACTGTCCTGACGGGCTGGGTCAGGTCACGGGTCGACAGTGGCTGAGGAGGGAGCGGGCTGTCCTGACGGGCTGGGTCAGGTCACCGGTCGACAGTGGCTGAGGAGGGAGCGGCTGTCCTGACGGGCTGGGGTCAGGTCACGGTCGACAGTGGCTGAGGAGGGAGCGGGCTGTCCTGACGGGCTGGGGTCAGGTCACCGGTCGACAGTGGCTGAGGAGGGAGCGGACTGTCCTGACGGGCTGGAGTGAGGTCACGGTTCGACAGTCGCTGAGGAGGGAGCGGGCTGTCCTGACGGGCTGGGGTCAGGTCACGGTTCGACAGTGGCTGAGGAGGGAGCGGGCTGTCCTGACGGGCTGGGGTCAGGTCACGGTTCGACAGTGGCTGAGGAGGGAGCGGGCTGTCCTGACGGGCTGGGGTCAGGTCACGGTCGACAGTGGCTGAGGAGGGAGCGGGCTGTCCTGACGGGCTGGGGTCAGGTCACGGGTCGACAGTGGCTGAGGAGGGAGCGGGCTGTCCTGACGGGCTGGGGTCAGGTCACGGGTCGACAGTGGCTGAGGAGGGAGCGGGCTGTCCTGACGGGCTGGAGTCAGGTCACGGGTCGACAGTGGCTGAGGAGGGAGCGGGCTGTCCTGACGGGCTGGAGTCAGGTCACGGGTCGACAGTGGCTGAGGAGGGAGCAGACTGTCCTGACGGGCTGGGGTCAGGTCACGGTTCGACAGTGGCTGAGGAGGGAGCGGGCTGTCCTGACGGGCTGGGATGAGGTCACGCACCGCCGGCACCTGCAGCCGTGCCGGGGTGTCAATGACCCCGCCGGTTGGGGCCAAGAGCCACGATTTATGTTGAATACTCCCCGCTAGTCAGATGGCAGCATTGAGCAGGGGCGCAGGCGGACTGCGTGTATTCCAGACGCAAACCAGGCCAACCTGCTCTGTCGAAACAGAACACACCGGGAGGCCTGACCCCCGGTCGGCCGTGGTGACAGCCTTCTGCGGCGCGGGGGTGCTATCTTCCGCGAAGCCTTTGCCCATGTCGTCAGCGGGCGGCTCGTGCATTTGCGTCGTCGGGCGGGGCGAGAGCCGGGGGCGGCACAAGTGCATCGGCGGTGGTAGGGCATCTCGGTACGGTCGCCCCTATCTCGAGCGGTCGTCTGTGACCTGGGCTGGGTGGCGAGAGTCGGGACTGCGGGTTGCCGACCGAGCGCCGCGATGAGTCAGTGGTGCACTCACCGATAGGGTGGGACTTAAGGCCAGGCGGCAGGTGGCTACTGAAGAAGGAGATGACGCGGAACGTTCCGAGAATGCCGCGCTGCTGTGAAAGAACACCATACAAAGTTTATGGTGTGGGATTAGACCCTCGGCGGGACACCTGGGGTATAGCGCCTGGCGTTGTATAGGATATTTAGTTGTTCAGACCACGGTTATGTCCTCGGGTGCTAACGTGCAACACTTCGCAAATATCTTGACTGATTGCTTCATTATCAGATGGGTATTTTCCGTCATGGGCATATGGCCAACGAAACGCTCAAGAATGATGCGCAACGGTGTCCCGCAGAGTTTCGGCCTGTCATGTCTGGATGTTGGGCAAACGAGTTCATCATTTCGCCTATATGTCAGCCGGATGGTAAGCTTTGGAACGGAAACGGAATGTGGCCTGGCTTATCCGTGTCCGGTTGAGCTTCATGACATCATTTATAGCGTAAAGAGGTTCGTTGGTTTCACGCAGAGAGCCTCCAAAGTCAGGGATGGTGCACGTATGTCAGATTCAGTAAACGCACGTATATCAAATTCGTCCCACCAGTAACATGTCCCGCAGCTTGCCCACTAAAATTCATACCGCACTTCTGCAGATGTTAGCATAAGCCGGGATGGTCGGTTTCATGCCACACGCTCGGGTGGTTGGTCACTTCGACCCCCGAGATATTAAAAACTAAGACAGCTACGGACACCAAACGCGCAAGGTTCATTGGCTGCATGTGTTCCCTGATGGTGTGTTTGTGAACTCTGTAGACTGAAAATGGTTTTGATTTTTGAATTTTGATAGACTTCAATGATGCCGCTAGGTGGCACGTTTCTAAGATAAAAATATTAACATGGGTCATTTTAGTTCGGCGCCTTACTCTGACCTATAAGAAGTCCATTGAAGATATCTGTTGCAGTCCTCGTTATCAAGACATTCGAAACGAGCATCACAAATGACCTCATACAGCAAGGCTTTTCAGTAAAAATCAGGCTAGTTTTCACCCCTGTCTGACCTTCATACCTGACCCATGGTCAGTAGAATTTCTTATAATTCCTAATTTTGTAAGTAGTTAACTGTACTTGCGATGAAAATTATGCATATAGGTAGGGCGGCATTGATAGCCTTATTCCTCGTAGATTACTTGGATTGATATTTCGATGTGTTGACTTTAAAATCGATTACATGTATAAATGATGCATGTCGCCTAATTACTTGAAATCGCATGCATGTATGACTGATGCATGATGCATGATGCCTGTTTAGTTAACTTCGTTTGCATGTACAGGTCTTTTTTCAAGCATTGTAAATTTTAGATATGCACTGTATCGTAGTAATGACTGGCAATTGCACCTTGTTTAATCCCCTGAATACTGGTGACATGGAAAAACTGTGGCTCACTGTTCGGCATGTAGCTGAAACATCAATCCGTTTATCTTTCCATTGTTCTTGTTATTATACAAGAAATAAAACTTTTAGTCTTAGTCTTAGTCTCAGAGTTTTAGTCTAAGTCTTACCCGTAACCCTAGATTTAGTTGCCTCATTGTCTGCGAAACGATTTCAAAGAGGTGCGGTTTCGTCTCACACTCCGGTATTGCAAAATATTGAACGATTCCCTAAAAATTGCATTCGCTGACGTCCACAGCCTGGTTTTGACCTGCCAAAGGTCAGCGACCTTACAAGGTACATTTGACTCTTTATACCAAACGATTCGCTATTTAGTTGCCCACAATCATTCAAAGTTCGGCGCGGCTGCGTCGCATCGTTCGAAAATTATTCGGACAAAAAATTAAATTTGGGGTTGGGGTCAAATGGGCGCCCACCCGGGTGCGTGATAACACGTAGATGCGCTGCGGATTGGACATGAGAACGAATATCAAGAGTGTAGTTTGACAAAATAAGTTAGCAGCAGTTCAGCAGGGGAACAGCAAAAGCTCCCTCAAAATCCGCCACAAACGCGATGTCTCCCTAGTTTGGCCCGCTTGCATCGGTCGGAAGCGTCGGTCAGAAGCGCGCTTTACTCACCCGAGCGTCGGTCGGAAGAAGCACGCTTCACTTTCCCATCAGTCGGCCTGCCCAGCCCAGAACGGGCGGGGCCGGCTATCCTCCCCTCCCTCCGCTAGCCCGCCTCTCCCGCGCAGGCCTCCAGCCGGCGGACTCGTCGCCGACTCCGGAGATCCCGACGCGCGCCGCACGTCTCCTGGCGCGCTGCCCGTCTCCTGACGCGCCGCCCGACGTCGTCCGGGCGGTGCCGCTGGCCGCCGGCCGTGCTTCACGCGGCGCACGTGCGACGCTTGTCGTGCGATGCTCGGCACGTGCGGGACGCGGCGGTGGGCGGCGGCGCGGGACACGTCCCGTCCCGTCTCTTGCCGTGCCGGCGCTGCGACTGTCTCCCGGCCGCGGCGGCCTCCGCGACGGTCGCTGCGCTATCTCGCGCCTCTGATAAGCTGCCGAATGTCACTGCCGCGTCAAGGCGTGGACCGCGCGGCGCTGGAGGCTAGGGGGGGGGGGGGGGGGGGGTCCGGTAAGGCAGCCGTGCGCGCGTGCAACCGGGCTCGGAAGCTCTGCATCTAAGGCTATCTTTGATCCCATGAAGTTGCTGAGGCAGGGTTGTTTCGGGAGGCGAGACGTTGATCTCGGCATCGGATCGTTGTTGTATACTGGTGTTGGATAGGGCGGATCCAGGATTTCATCAAGGGAGGGGCCACGGTTCATCGTGGTTCCCACTGGAACTTGCCTCTCCCTAAGACGAAAGTCCACGGATTTTGGCTGTTATTTTCAGATTCGTATCATATGCTATCTCCCGCCAGAATGGTCCACCGATGCAACCCACTTTATTTGTGAAGGCCATTTTTATTTTTATTCTGAACTTATTTGACTTAAAGAGAAGTCGGAACTTACGTGAAGATGAAGTCTATCACGTATTTGGAAGCAACTGTAAAAAGAAATTAAATAAGAGCATAAACAGTAGACAATATTCGCCTTACAATGCTTCATTGTGCTTGTCTATTAAACAAGAACAGTCAGGGAAATACCGGATTTTCTCGGGGGTTTCAAGGATGCGGGGTGACCATAAATTAAACCCCAGCGTAGATTGAAACAGGATCAAAACTTTGTGTTAACATTCCCAACCCTTTTACGGCTGCAAAGTGTATCCTTGTTTGGAATCCATCGCTGAAAAAATGAGTATAGAATGGTGTAATGCATTTGCGCTCATGTTTCATGTGCTCATGAAAGTAAAAATGATGAAACCCGTAATGACGGTGTACTGCCTTCTCAGCTAGGGGTCCCGTCCCAAAATTGATCAGGGTGAGGGGAGCAACAAGGTGATTCCCTAGCATTTAGTGCCGCTAAAGAATGAAGGTTTGAGGCCCTTGGTGGTGCCCTCTGGAATGGAGTGCCTCTTGAAAGAAAGGTTATGGCGCCCCGAAAAGAAGGGTGTGATGCTCCCTCACCGAGTAGGCCGAGCCAGAACTTTGTCAAGGAACACAGCATGGGCATTGTAGTGCCCTAGAAGTTGGTGGCTCCAAAATGAAAGTTGGGGCCCTTCGTGGTGCCCCTGAAATTTGTTGCTTTATGAAAACATAGATTTTGTGGTTCCTAAACGGGGATTGCGGTGCCCCTTCATCACGAGATTGTTATGCCTCTTTGAATCACCAAAACCTCATGGGGCCCAAGGGTCCAATGTCCCCTCTGAAATCACCCCTGTTTTGTGGTGTCCCTTGAGTTGCGTGCCTCTGGAAAATAATTATTGTCGTGCCCGAAAATGAATGTTTTTAGTGCTCTTCGCGGGACGGGCTGATCCAGAATTGTGTTAGTGTCAAAAGCACAGAAATTGTGATTCTAGACTTTGGTCCGCTTTTAAAATCAAGGTTTTGGTCCTTCCAAACGACCCGCTGGGATATGGTCATATATATATATATATATATATATATATATATATATATATATATATATATATATCCAGGCGTTCCTTGAAAGTAAATATTGTGTCGCCCCGAAATGAATGTGTAGTGTCCCCCAGCCTATGGGGCCAACCCAGGATTTAGTTAGGATGAAAGGCACAATACTGTTGTGTCCGTGGAATTCGGTGCCTTTGGAGAATGAAGGTTTGAAACCGTAGTGGTGTCTTCGGACTTTGATGCCTGTCGCAATTAAGTGTGGAAATAAATTAGGGTTATAAGGATCCGAAATAAAGATGTTGGTGTTCCTTCGCCGCGACATTTTCGTGCCACTTCGGCCTGGGGGGTCCACTTGGCCCATACCCCTCCCCCTCGCTGGATTTGCCACTAATGCTGGAGACGTTGGCGGTTTAGAGCGCAAGTGGCGCAGTTGATGCACCCCGTGGCATCGTATGCGAGCCCTGTCCGCCCAGCCAGGCTTTGACGGAATGATGACGCCCTATTATGCATGTTCCTCCGCGGAGTGCACGACCGTCTGTACTGCACGGCAAAAACTGATGCCGGCGATCAAGCACGTGCTCGTTGTTCGTGGGGATGAATCAGTGCAGCTGACGAGGCGTCTGCCCGCGATTGTGCGCGAAAAGCGTGGGTTTAGAGCCTGCTGCCGGCCCGGATTTTGTCGCTCCCTGGTTCGATTGGCGCAATCACGACGCGAAATGGCGTGAGGTGTTAATGCGCCCTTTAGCCAGCAGATTAACAGTGTGAAAACGGCTTGCTACCGGCTGGCGCAATGTGCGCGCGGCGGAAAGATGTAAGTGACTGTCGAAAAGTTTCGTGCTGTCGTCTGCTGTTCCGTTCTGGAATTGAAAAGAAACACTCGGGGATCCGCCATGGCCTACCCGAGACACAGCGCCAGCACGTTATGCCTAGACATCCTGGCTCAAAATCATGATAAGTGGTTGTCTAAGTTCTGACCTTTTGGCGAAGGAGTCAGACTTGTCTAGAAAGGCATCGCGCAATGCTCTGGATGTATCTTCATTACCCCAAGTCCTCACCACGCCCACGTATGCTTCTAAATTGCGGCTTGGTGATGGCATCGTGATTTGTTATTCTGTGTCATGTACGACAAAGGAGAATTTTGAATGAGACTTTTGCTGGAACAACAACCAACGAAAATGTAGCATTGTGTGTTACGTGCATGTGCGCCAGAGATCATACGCATGCACGCGCGTGCGCACGCACACACGGTACTCGCGGACATTCTTCTCTCTGTGCGAGGGAATAATGTTGGTGATGAGGGCGATTTTGGAGCTATCACACTTCAACTGGATGATATTGCTCATCTGAGGCACTGTTCACTGTTCTGTTCTGTCCACTCTTCACCGTCCACTGTTCGTTAAGACATTACACCTTGTTCCTTCGATGTTGACTCACTTGATCCCGCTTGGCCTTGTGCTTATGAGATGTTGGCCTCGTGCGCTACAACATTGATGTAGTGCTCACTTGCTAAATCGGTACCCACAAAGTCTGGTTTAAAGTGAGAGAGCTCACGGCCGAAGTGACGTTGTCGGATGGCAATACAGGGCCTGCATAGCCGAACTCGCCTCATTCGCTATGTTCACCACGGAGATAAAAGTCCTTAGCTCCGCCCACGTGTCTATTATCAGCATTTTCGCACCACTGAACACGCACGTGAGGCCCGGCCGCGCTCGCTCGCACACATTCACGACAATCACGACAAGACAGGCAGATGACAGTGGGCGTGCCTTTCTGGCGCTTCCGGTTCCCGGTGATGCATTTTCTCAGCCCCCCCCCCCCCCCCTCCCTCCCCCGGGTTCGGAAGTGGTGCTGTCTCGGGCCCCTGGTAACCGGCAGGTGCTGCTCTTGGCGTCGGGTGTTCAGTGGTGAACGTCGCTAGGTCATGATAACCAGATGTAAGGGTCTGACTTTCTCAAGGGAACGCGATGCGCGTCGTCACGGCCATTTTATGGAGCGCCAGCGACTACCTCGGCAATAATATCGTTTAGGGGCAATGGCGTAAGCGAGATTCAAACCCGGGCCCCTCGTATGGGAGTCCGACGCGCCGACCACTCGGTCATCACGTCCCTCAAAGGTCTGACTTCTACTGGTAATCGGTAAGGAATGCATTTACCGTCCAGCGCGCAGTGTTGCTGCCTCCCAAGCCGTGATCGGTCGGGATGATTAAGCGTAAATAGGGATTTACTCCTCACCCAACTCCTGGTAATCCCTAATGGCTCCTGCCGGCTCCGCCTCCCCCCCCCCGCAGTGAGCAATCCCGTCGAGCGCCGATCCTCGGCGGCGGAGATCTATCTCGGCTCCCGGTGCCCGCCATGGGGTCACGTTGGCTCCTGACCCAGCCGTGGCCCAGCAACAGCGGGTATCGTGTCTGATCATCTCCCTGTGTTGACCTTCAAGGCGACAACCGCCCACTGTGGATGTGGAGTGCGGCCTATGTAGCCATTATCCCGGCAAACATCCGTCGAGTGTTTCAGCGACGCAAGCCTCTGTGTGACGCATTGTGCCAACGCCGCTCTAATTAACAGACAATATTGGCATCGTCACCAAGTTAAAGAAAATAGGTGCATTGCTATTTTCTGACCATAGGTGGATCCTGAGGGGGGGGGGGGCACGGGGCCACGGCCCTCAAAAAACTCTTAGAGTATGTTTTGCCCCCCCCCAAAAAAAACATTCTCAGAACTTCATAAAAGTTTCGTCTACTTACCGTCTGTTTAACTTTGATGGTGCGGTATCAAGCATTTCATTTGACATTGCATCCCGACTCCTGACTGACTCATCTTTCATCTCGTTCCGCAGCGCGGCTCACCGGCGTGCCCGCCCGCCATAGCCGCTCCGCAGCTGCCACCACGCTCCATAGCCACTAGAATCATCCTTTGTCCGGTCTGATCACCCTGTTTCACCGTTTGTCACCCTGTTCACCATTTGCAATAAACCTCATCTGACAAGTTGACTCTTGAAAGTAATATCTTATGTTACGAGCTTTGTAAACATGCATGCTGTATATAGAATGTTCACGAGCATTTCGGTGCTTGAATGGTGTCCTTACTAGGAACTCGCGAGAGGTACCATACACTGGACCTCGGATCCCACACCAGCCAGATGGCGACGAACGGTTGCCCCCCCCCCCAAAAAAAAACTCCAGGCTAGATCCGCCCCTGTTTCTGACCAGGTGACTCAGCATCACAGGCTGCAACAACATGAATAATCAAAGAATAAACACCAGAACATAAGGTGCACGTGACGAACTGTTGGAGTCGGGTCAGTCATTTAATGGTAGCAGAAGGACCATTCCTGTGTTCACCCCGTATGATGTACGGCTAATTAGCAGAAACAAAATATAGCACTACCTAATGTAATAATAATGCCTTCTTACTAATAACTGTTTGCAATAACTCATGCATCGTTTGTTTCAACTCCGTCGTATTTAAGGCAGGAAAACAAAAGGGGCGTCCACCGCCGGCTGTAGCTTCGAGCATGGTGCTAACTTACGGCGGCATTGGCGGGCAAGCCGCGGGCCGTAAAGCAGGCCGTGCGTCCTCGCCGGGCGCCAGACCAGTCAGCGGGCGCCCAGCGGCGTCGCGCTAGTGTGGGACGTTCGCGGGTCCGAGCTCGAGGCGCGCCTTGACACGCGGCGCGCCGCTCCTCGCCGGGAGGCCGTCTGTGTTCGTTTGTGTGCAGCTGTGTGTGTGTGGGGGGGGGGGGGGGCTGCGAAAACATAGACTTGTGAATGCATTTGGCTTCAGTGCCCATTAACTGTTTGCAGTTATTTAAATACGTTTATAAAGTCTGTCGTGGATAATGGAAAACAGTTTTTCAGGAAAACAGAAAACAGGAAAAGTGCTGTCGTTATTCTAAACCCGAGCCGACCTGACCCGCTCCTGTCCTCTCCCGACTGAACATATCCTTCCCAGACCTCTCCTGTCGGCACATGACCTGACCTAACTTGACCTGATCTAGCTTGACCTGACCTAAACTAGCCTGACCTGACCTGATCGTTTCCGTCCCCCCCTTTCTAGGTATATCCTGCCCAGACCATTTCCGTTCGGTGCTTGACCTGACCAGACCTGAACCGCTCCCGTCCTCCCATGACTGGGCATATCTTGCCCTAGGCCCTCTCCATTCAGCGCTTTACCTTACCTGACCTGACCCGCCGTCGTCATTCCGGCACTGGTCATGACCTGACCTGACCTAACCTAACCTGGCCTGGCCCGCTCCCGTTATGCTGAGGCTGGACATGAACTGACCTGACCTGACCTTACCGCCTTCTGTCCCGACTAAGCTTGACCTGCAGCGCTGTTCCGCTGACATTCTGCAGTACTTCACTGCACCTGCAACGACTTTTGGTGGAATCTTACAGGCCTCGATCTGCCGTGACCTGGCTTACAGTGACTCCTTCGTCGACATGTCACGGGACCCGGTCGGGACCTGACTTGACTTGACCTGACCTGAGTTTACCCGACCTGATCGGCCCTGTACTCGCCACCAGGTGGAGACAGTCGAGTGGGCGTACGAGAACATCGGCGAGAAGGGCGCCACGGACACGGAGCTCAACAGCATGGCCGACTACCTCTCCCGCAAGCAGCTGGACCTGGTGATCAACCTGCCGATGCGCAGCGGCGGCGCGCGCCGAGTCAGCTCCTTCCAGACGCAGGGCTACCGCACGCGCCGCATGGCCGTCGAATACGGTGTCTGCCTCGTCACCGACGTCAAGTGCGCCAAGCTGCTGGTTGAGGTGCGTTGTGGCGTGTGATGTGTGGTGTTGTGTTGTGATGTGTGATGTGTCGCGGTGGGCTGTGTGGGAGAGACTGCCGGCTGGTCTTGGTGTGCTTGTGTCTGGCTGTCTGGCTGTGTCTGTCGAGCGGCACATGTTCTCCAGCTCCCATCACCGGGGGTCACGCCTTCGATGAAGATATCCCAGAAATGTCAAGTGAAAGGCAATAAGCGTGATTACGCAATTAGCATTCTCGTGTGCGTGTTGATCCGCGGAAAGTTTGGACAGTTTGAACCAGTCTGAACCAGTTTGAACCAGTTTGAACCATTTTGAACCAGTTTGATTCAGCCATCATCTAGGCTACCGTAGCTTCCTTTTGGTATATCAGACAGTCGGATACAGATAATCCCCACTTTGGAAACACCGCGTCCTAAATCGTTCACATCTCGCCGATATGGTACGAAAAGGTGCTCCTGTCCACAAGACGATAATTTACGGTCATCTTTATCAGCGGGAGCAGCTTGCAAACAGAGGACCTGCCTTGCAGCCGGCATCTCGTCTCAAGATAATGCATTAAGGCGATCAAATGACGCCACTTGAACGCAAAGTGTTCAATTTGCGGCATCGCGATATGTTTCAAAGTATGTCCTACCGCCGATGGGCTGCGCAAGCCACCAGCTTCAGTGCGGTGTTCTGTACCACTGCCACATCAACGTTCAGCAGTTTCGTGGACCCCGTTGGACCTGTTTCGTGGAATGTGGACGTGGTGTAACGGCTGACGGCAATAGTGCGGATTGGTGAATGGTTCTGCTCTGCTAGTGTCAAATTCCCGGCCAAAATCTGCGGGCTCAGGTTTACGTGATAGTTTTTTTTTTAAAGCGTGGAAGTTGAGTACAAAAATTTGGAGAGGCTCGACCCCTTTTCGCTTACATTGAGTGCGTTAGATTGATTTCATGCTAGATGTGTGCTGATCGCATTTTGTAAAATACGATCTTAAATCCATGTTGTTATGCGATCGCAAAAACCTGGAAATGTCGATAGAAAGAACGGAACATTAAGGTATAACTGATGATAATTAACCGCCCAAAATGCTGCCGACAAAGGAGCATTGCCCATTGGGGATTCCCTACATTACCCGTGGTATGCTTTAGCTAGACCATCATACGCCGTGCCTCACACGACACATCAGCCCGCTCATCTTCCGCTCACCTTTCCGACGCGTTCGGCCCATCATCGCAGGCTCTGCACCGGTTGGGCGGACAGGCGCCGGTCGTCAACACCAGGCTCGACTGTATCTCGTCCCGACGCGTCGTCCGGCTGCCTGGCATGATTGACGTCCATGTGCATCTACGGGACCCCGGTCAGTGTCCACTCACGGGACCCCGGTTAGTGTCCACCCGCGGGGCGTCGGTCTGTGTCCACCCGTGAGACCTCGGTCAGTGTCCACCCGTGAGATCCCGGTCGGTGTCCTCCCGCGGGACCCCGGTCAGTGTCCACCCGCGGGACCCTGGTCAGTGTCCAACCACGGGACCCCGGTCAGTGTCCATCCCTGAGACCTCGGCCAGTGTCTACCCGTGAGACCTCGGTCAGTGTCCACCAGCGGGACCCTGGCCAGTGTCCACCCGTGAGACCCCGGTCAGTGTCCTCCCGCGGGACCCCGGTCAGTGTCCACCCGCGAGACCCGGTCAGTGTCCAACCACGGGGCCCCGGTCAGTGTTTACCCGTGGGACCTTGGTCAGTGTCCACTCGTGAGACCTCGGTCAGTGTCCACCCGCGGGACCCCGGTCAGTGTCCGCCATTGGACTCCGATCAGTGTCCACCCGTGGGACTCCGGCCGGTGTCCACCTGTGGAACCTTGGTTAAAGCGTCCAACTGTGCGACCCCGTTCAGTGTCCACCTGCGAGACCATACTCAGTGACCAACTGCGGGACCCCGGCCAGTGTCCACTTGCGGGACTATGGTCAGTATACTTGCGGGACCCCGGTCAGTGTCCACCTGCGAGACCCCGATCAGTGTCCATCTGCGCCGCCCTTGTTGCTAACCATCTGTGAAACCTTAGCCAGTGTCTCTCTACCCAAGGTCGCAGTGGGTCTCTGGTCAGCAGCCACACGAGGGACCATGGCCAGTGGATCTGTGTCCACTGTCCATCTGTGAAACCCCGGCCAATGGCCACCTCCACGTGAGAGACGCCTGCCGCGATCAGCGTTCACGCCCGCGTTATAAGGCACTGCACCGTGGTCAGGACGCTTCGCAGGAGCAATCCCAAGCCAGCCGACCGGTTGGCCAGACCACTGACACAGTCTTGCCTATGTATCCTCTGCAGAATAATCGACATGGTCGCTGTCTCGGCTTCCTCAAGCCTTGCACCGAGGAGAGTCGTCCTCATGTCTTTGAATGTTGTCACCCATCACTCCTCACCGACCTTGCATGTAGCGATAAGGACCGCTTACACATCCCTCCCCACGAAAGCAGGATATGTCACCGGTCTCAGCTCAGTTCCCGTCTCTTTCAAGTCTCGTCCCCGTCTCAGCTTCAGTCCTAATCTTAGTATCAGTCGCAGTTCTATACCCACTCCCAGTCCCGTCCCAGTCCCAGTTCCGGTCCCAGTCCCGGTCCCAGTCCCAGTCCTATTCCCAGTCCCACTTCCGCTCCCGCTCCCGCTGCCACTCCCACTCCTACTCCCACTCCCACTCCCACTCCCACTCCCGCTCCCAAACCCACTCCCAGTCCCAGTCCCAGTTCCAGTTCCAGTTCCAGTTCCAGTTCCAGTTCCAGTTCCAGTTCCAGTTCCAGTTCCAGCCCCAGTTTCAGTTACAGTCACAGTCACAGTCACAGTCACAGTCAGTCACAGTCACAACCCCGCCCAGCTTGGCGTGATTTTGCAGCTGACCCGTACGCCGGCCGCATCCAGGTCAAACGCACAAAGAAGACTTCGCCTCGGGCACGGCGGCCGCGCTGGCCGGCGGCGTCACCATGGTGATGGTCATGCCCAACACCCAGCCGGCTGTGGTCGACCGCGAGACCTTCCAGCTGGCCAAGGAGGTGAGAGGTGGCGCAGGCGGCGCGTTTACAGGGTCCCCTGAGAGCCTGTGCGGATGTGCCGCTGAGTGACTGGCTGTGACTGATCGAACTGGCTGTAACGAACCCAGCTGGGATCGTGGTGGCGTCGCGGTGTATGTGTTGATGGGTGGGTGATGGGTGTTTCGTTGGTGTGCAGGGAAGGAAGCGCTAGTGGAAGGTCTGCTCTGTTGTCCTTGCCGTGCCGTACCATGGGAGCAAGGTCAATGACATCAATAGTATGTCCAACCACAACAGTGGGCGGCATTTTCCCCCAAAATACGGACGCCACCGCCGCGTTGCACCATTGACGCAGCGCCGCTGTGTCCCGCCTGACAGTGCGCCAGCCGCGGCGCGCGCTGCGACTTCGCGCTGTTCGTGGGCGCCGCGGAGGACAACTACCGCCAGCTGGCGGAGCTCGGGCCACGCGCCGCCGCGCTCAAGATGTACCTCAACGAGACGTTCACGGAGCTGCGGCTGGACGCGCTCACCGTCTGGCTGCAGCACATGGAGCACTGGCCGGTCTGTGGACGGTCGGGGCGGGCGCTGAGCTCTAGAGCGGTGCGAGGACTCGCGTCTGGTCAGGCCGCGGGCGAGACGCAGTGTTCGCGTGCTGTGGAGGTCCGCCGGGGTTTGTTCGGTTGCTGACGATGTGTTTTTGCTGACGGTGTGTTCGATTGCTGACGATGTGTTTGAATGCGGCAGTCGCCGCCGGGGTTTGTTCGGTTGCTGACGATGTGTTTGAATGCGGCAGTCGCTAGGATTGTTGTCCATGCGCGAGCCGTACTTGGGAAACGGTGGCATTTAGGCATTCGAGATTTCGGTGATGCAGTGGGACACTAAAATTGAAATAACTCTTAACCTAAAAATTCTAGCGTACCATTCGGGATATTTCAGACGCCGTAAATCATTCCCGACCGCATCGTAACATGTCGGTCGATGTAGCATGCTATAGTCTACATCTGGATCGCCCACGTTTTTGGCATGTGCTGACCTGACTCTGCTCCCGGCGACAGCGGCACCTCCCGCTGTGTGTGCACGCAGAAGGCCACACGATGGCGGCCGCCATGATGGTCGCTGCTCTGGCCAACCGACCAATCCACGTCTGCCACGTGGCGAAGAAGGAGGAGATACTGATGATCAAGGCGGCGAAGCAGAAGGTGCGTTGATGCGTGGACCGAAGGAGATTTTGAGAGAGAGGAGGGGGGAGGAAGAGCGCCGCGCACGTCGTGGCGCTCCCTTTGAGTACGAAGCTTCATAGACTGCACTGGTCATGTCAGCGCTCGGGGGCATGGCACAACCAGGATTCGAACCCAGGGCTCCTCACCGGGGAGCCGAAGGCGCCAAACACTCAGAAGTTACGCCCCGCGGCTGGGAGAACATGATTGGTGAATTGACGACGGTGGTGATGTGATAATGAGTTAAATCCATCCGAAGTACCAAGATTGGCTGAGGGGTGGCCTACCTTATGCCGATGCTCAAGTTCCTGACGGAGATGCATCTTTAAACCAGCCTTTTGTCTCTGTATTTGCTTTGTTAGCATTGATCCGGGTCGTGGCATATTTATCTTCGAGGAAACATTTCCTTCTGCCCTGTCACTGTCGCGACGGCACTTGTTCGTCCATTGACTCGTCCACTGACACGTGCACTGAACGCCAACGTTGAACAAATCCTCTGAGTACCCACTTCTCGTAAACTATAGACCCCCCTCACTGCCAGCGGACGCTTACCGGTGGCCGCCCGCCTGCGGCAGGGATTCCCCGTGACCTGCGAGGTGACCCCGCACCACCTGTTCCTGAGCGCCGCCGACCTGGACCGGCTGGCCAGCATGGGCCGCGTCAAGCCGCCCCTGATGACGTCCGAGGATCGGCAGGCGCTCTGGGAGAACATGAACGTCATCGACTGCTTTGCCACCGACCACGGTCAGCGGCCGACATTGTCCGGTCCCGAAGGGGGGGGGGGGGTCTATGCACGGGAATTGTCAGGTCTCAGCAGGCTGATGGCGGGTTGTTGTACTCAGGGCTTACGCGTCTGATTTTGTCGTGTAGATGATCATGTGGTCATATTTCGTGTCATTTTTATGGTTGCGATTTTCCTTTTTTCTTCGCCAAAATGAGTTGTAGCAGCCTTGTCAGTCCCCTCTGTTTGGTTGCCTGGAGTGTGGTAAGTGTATTTACAGTTGTCGACCGCGCTCAGTCGACCTGATTACATGCAATGCCTTGACTCGTTCTCTCCTCGCAGCAGCTAGCACCCTTATTGTTTACCACGTCTTCCACCTAGCTGCCCTGTTACGCCCTCGCTCGATCTGCGCGCGGTCTCTGATTCGGTGTGGGGCCCGCCCCTGGCCGGCTGTGTCGCCGGCTAACTCCCCGTAAACTCCCCCGTCACGCAGCGCCGCACACGATCGCCGAGAAACGCTCCGAGAAGGCCCCACCCGGCTTCCCGGGCCTGGAGACGATGCTGCCACTGCTGCTGACGGCCGTCAACCAGGGGCGCCTGACGCTGCAGGTCCGTGGTCCGGGTCAGCTGATGCTGCAGGCCTGTCAGTCCAGAATCTGCTGACTCTGTGGGTCTGTGGTCCGGGTCTGCTGACGCAGCGGGCCTGTGGTCCAGGGTCTGCTGACGCTGTGGGTCTGTGGTCCGGGTCTGCTGACGCAGTAGGCCTGTGGTCCAGGGTCTGCTGACGCTGCGGGCCTGTGGTCCAGGGTCTGCTGACGCTGCGGGCCTGTGGTCCGGGGTCTGGTGACGCTGCGGGCCTGTGGTCCAGGGTCTGCTGACGCTGTGGGTCTGTGGTCCGGGTCTGCTGACGTTGCGGGCCTGTCAGTCGGAGTTAAGAATTAGACCCCGCGATGCATGTTTACTGCCCGGCGTTAGCTGACACCCTAGGCCTGTGAATCAGGGGCATGTGACGCTGCGAGTCTCGAACTGGGGTCAGCCGCACGGTGAGTCATCCGCGCGGCGGCGTTGGGGTCGGCGGCCATCGCACGCGGTCACGGCCTGGACACGTGAACTCGTGCCATATCGGAGAAGACCATCCGCGAACACTCGAGACCACAATCTGCGCCAGCTGCCGTGATTCGGCGGCGGAACCGGGGAGGCGATGACGGAACAGGGAGCAGTAAACACTCACCCGAGGGTTGATGTCTCACGAGTGGATGGTCTCGATAACATGTCCAGACGCTCGCTTGCCAGCCATCGCCGCTCGATCGAGTGACCACCGTGTCTTGTTTGAGCGAAGTAAGTGCGAATTAGGTCCGATAATGCAGTGTCGATAACACAGATTGATGGCGTCTGGTGGGCTGTTATCCGCCGTCGTATCCTTGTCGCCGTTGGTGCTGTCAGCCGTGATGAAGTACTAGACTTCGTTGTGGTTAGTGCTCTTGTTTGCTTCAAGAGCTGGTGCTGTTTTAATGTATTTGCCCTTTGCTCTTTGCTCGTTGCACTTTGCTTGTTGCACTTCGCTCGTTGCGCTTACTGTAAGGTACGCTGACGCACTGGTCCTGACACATGACGTGCACTTGCTCGATTGACCCGCTTAGATGTTACCATTAGTTTTATGTGGGATGGACACAGGATTTACTGGCCGTTGGAAATGCTTCTAACCGGTGTCTGTCATTCGTATGCCATATTCCTTACACATATACAGCTTGCCGTCTTCGTGGCGTCTGTTTGTCACTACGTTGCATTGTTTGCCGCACAGTTGGACGTGCTTGCGCCGCCGCCGGGCTTACCGCTCCCGCCGTACCCTCGCTCCAGGACCTGGAGGAGAAGCTGCATCACAACCCGCGCCGCATCTTCCACCTGCCCGAGCAGCCCGACACCCACATTGAGGTGGACATGGACGAGACGTGGACCGTGCCGGACGCGCCTACGCACAGGTGCGGCGCGCCCCGTCCGGCCGGCCGCACCGGGGCGGGGCCGGCCGGCGCGGTGCGGGTGCTCTCATTCTCAGCCTGTCGCTGCGGTAGGCTCTGGCGCTGGGTGTCTGAGTAGCGGTGGCAGGGGTGCTTGTGGCGTCGGAGAGGAGCAGGCCGTCCCTTGGATCAGTAACGACCTGCACTGACCCCGCGCCCGCCATCGGCAGCAAAGCGGCCTGGACGCCGTTCTCCGGAATGGAGGTGGCCGGCGCCGTCAAGCGCGTGGTGCTGCGCGGCGAGGTGGTGATGGTCGACGGTCGCGTGCTGGCGGCGCCCGGCTCCGGCCGCGACGTGCGCGAGCTGCAGCCGCTGCTGCCGCCGCCGCCGGCGGCCGAGGCCGCCGCCGGCCGCCAGGAGGAGCGTGAGAGGCCGCTGGTCGCCGCCGCCCCTCCTCACGACCGGCTGGTGGCAGGTAGCCAGGCGGGGGCGGAGATTGATACCGGGGCGGGAGACAGGCGGGCCGGCCTAGATGACCGATTGAACGCCAGCTACATTGCAAAACATCGGCGTCGAACAGTTCTATAGGTGATGGCGATCGGGTTTGGGGCGTCGTGACAGCTGGTCATTTGGAATGCAACCGAAATCACCATATATCTTTGAAACCATTGCTGTGAGTGAGATGCCTCGCTCTGATGTTGGTTTTGGGACGATTGGAAGCAACATGTTTTTCCTGGTTTTCGGTTCAGCCGCTGTATGACAGGTTAGTCGTCATGCATCAGGATGTTTCCTGCATGCCTGTCCCGTCGTAACCCAGCGCCGTGGGCGGCCGACAGCGGCGGAGAGTCTCGGCATCCACGCACTGGAGCGGCCGGCGCTGGCGGCCACGCCGCCCAGCCGGGGGCGGGCGGCGACGGCCGGCTCGCGGCAGCGGGGCTCCTCGCCGAGGCCGCCCCTGACCGGCCACGGTCTGGTCACCACCCCTTCCGCCGCTGCCGCCGCCGCCGCCGCCGCTGCCGCCGCCGCGCCGCTGGGGCACGTGCTGACGGCCGAGACGTTCACCCGTGACGCGCTGTACCGCCTCTTCTACCTCGCGCAGACGTACCGCACGAGCGTGGTCAAGGAGCGGCCGCTGGACCACGTGCTCAAGGTGGGCAGATACTAGCGCCGCCTGCCAGGCAGCGGACGGTGGGGCGGGGCTGATCCGTGACTTTGAAGCTGGCTGGTCTCACATCTTTCGCCTCACGACCTGGTAGCAGTGTAAAATGGAAGAGTACTTGATGGCCATGTGATCTGAATGTCAGTTATTTCCGCAGAGCCTACTATGCCTAGTACGACCGCGTCGTGGGTGTGTTTCTGTACGTGAGGTTCTCGAATGTCTCCGCTCTGTCGTGTACCCGGATCGACGGACTTGCTCCGCCTGAGCCGGTACACTGTGTACGTCAGGGTAAGGTCATGGCTCTCATGTTCTACGAGCCCTCCACGCGGACCTCGTGCAGCTTCGACAGTGCCATGCAGCGGCTGGGCGGCCGCGTCCTGCACTTCAACGAGAGCACCTCCTCCGTGAAGAAGGGAGAGACACTGGAAGGTATGGATGTTTACATGGCCTCCATACGTCTTAGTACCGGAGTGGAATCAAAAATTCGCTACAACTAGGCTCCGCTACTACCCACTAAAGCCCCAAATTATTATTAGGAACATGAATCTGCCCAACCGGCACAACGCCTCAGCTGACTTCTGTTTTGAAAGCTTCCATATCAGAAATGCTTTGTGGCATTTCAGGTGTATCCGCACGCTAGGAAAATTATCCTCAAGATATGCATGGTAGAGTTTTTCCTTCTACGGAATTTTTGCCATTTGGTTATTTTTTGTGTTGTATGTGTGCTTGTTCGACCGCGCTACCCGGTGTCAGCGGCATTTGGACTGGGTCCCCCCCCCCCTCCATCGGTGGTTGGTAGTTACTCGGCCCTCCGGTGCCGTCAGTCGAGGCTTGATCAGGGCCCAGTATCTTCTGGTGCGTGGTTGACGCGAATGTCGGCATCCCGGGATGGAAACTGAAACTACGCTGACAAATATTGCGCAGGAAATTGAAATAAGAACGATAAACGTCGAGAGATGAAAGAATAATATGATGTAATAGAATAGAAGAGATAAGAAAGATACCCTCAAAATCTCTTAATTCGTGTGTTTTCTATGCACAGCTCCTCCCTCTTACCCCAAATATTTACACGCGACCGGATGGCCGGCTAGAGACCCTTCGCTCGGGTGGGGGTCATTTCGACCCCGCCTGAGATCTCGGGAACTAAGAGAGCTAGAGACACCAAATTTACAAGGTGTGTTGACCTGCACGTGAACTCACTTAGGCTAAAGTTTGAGGGTTCTAGGTCGTGACCTTCGTGTCACATAAGGTCAAATAAAATCGAATTTCATGTTGGCTTCCAAAGTGCCGCCAGAACCTAGATAACTGTTTCACGCTCAGTTAAGCCGCACGCTCAGTTAAGGTCATTGACCTTGTTTGACCTTTTGAAGGCCATGGTGACCAAAATTATACAGACTGCTCTGAGTTTTGCGTTTGAATAAGCGACAAAGATTACGGTGGGCAGTATTTTTCTAAAAACAAAATGCTGACCAGGGTCGTTTTAGGTCAACTGCTTATTCTGGCCTCTAAGAAGTCCATAGAAGATAAATGATGCGGTTCCTGCTCGATAATGTCGAATTGAGCACTAAAAAGTATCCCGTACAGCAAGCCCTAGAGCAATAAAACATGCTGGATTTGACCTTGGTTTGACTTTTCTACGTGACCTTAGGTCAACGTAATTTGCTCATTCACTATTTGTGTTGCCTAAGCAAGCATCTCAGAGGTGTATGGCTTTGCTTAACACTCCGTTGTGGCATCAGATTGAACGGTTCTCTTGCAACTGACTTCGCTGAAATAATGACCTGATTTTGACCTGCCATAGGTCAGCGACCTTACTAGGTACATCTAAATTTGCTATGCCAAACGGTCCGTTATTGACATGCCCCCCCTCACCCGAGCGCGTGTTAGTCGGTCGCCTTGCGGGAGCTTTTTCTGCCGATTGGCTAGTCACACATCCTTTGATGTATGACCTAGACAAATATTGGCCGTTCGAAGCTGCAGATAGGTGAATGGAATAAGACAGGTGGATACGGAAAGATAGAAAATTGGGATTGGCGGAGGGGCTATCAAAGATTTGGGCGTTCCGTGATTTGAACCGGCTCATTCAATCATTTGATCGGTCCTGTTTTTTTATCTAGGATCTAGGATCTAATCTATGAATGTTTTACTTTGGATGAAAGGTTCACACGGGAGCCAAAGCCGTCGAGTATCAGCATCGTAAATTACATTCCCACTGTCAAACATTTGGCATTCTGTTGACCTGCAGCGCCAGCGATTCGAACTTTGTCTGCCTACGTCGGCTTTGGCTTGAGGCTTGAAACGCCTGAGCGCTGATCGTACCGCGTCTCCCATGCGCCACCATGAGGTAAATGCCGAACTTTGTCTGGAAGCTGGCAGCTGAGGCACCTGCCAATCTCCTCAGCGACGCATCTCCAACCAGCTGATGTGTATATGTGTGTGTATGTGCGGCCGGCAGACTCTGTGCGCACGCTGGCCGGGTACAGCGACGTGATCGTGCTGCGGCACCCGACGCCGGCAGCGGCGGCGCGCGCGGCCGAGGTCAGCTCGCGCCCCGTCATTAACGCCGGCAGCGGCGTCGGCGAGCACCCCACCCAGGCGCTGCTCGACGTGTTCACCATCCGGGAGGAGATCGGCACCGTCAATGGGCTCACCGTCACCATGGTAACGGAGGCGTGCTGTCGTGGGGACGGCGTGCCGCGTTTGAGGCTGCGTTGGAGGGTGCGTTTAGCCGTTTCAGGCCTTCGCTGCGTCGTGGTCACGTGTTACGGTGCAGGAGCTCGACGGCGCCGTGGTAGTAAGCCACTGACAGTCACAGCAGCAAGGCACTAGCATCAACATTACTGAGCCACCAATTAGCGTGTTTTGGCCATCAAGATGACTACAAGTGATGCCGCGGATTGAATGAGTCTTAACCGTCTTGACCTGGATGTCAACTAGCCGGGGATTTTGTGGCGTCGGCGGATTTTGTGACCGGCCCGGGCTGGCCTGTCACGCTGTTCATGGCCTTATATCTGTGCCACCACTGATCATGCCGCCATGAAGTTTGCAACAAGGGGCGTTGTCCTTAAAAGTTGAGCCTGAACATTTTCGTGGCACTTCATCCATTTGTATCACCAGGCATCGAATTTCTCAAAAGCTGCCATGTCGCCGCCGCTTCAATGCCTTCACCTCATTTCAAAACGTGAAATGGATTCCTCCTTCACCTCATTTCAAACCGTGAAAAAACTCCTCCTTGACCTCATTTCAAGCCGCGAAAAGACACTCCTTCACCTCATTTTAAACCAAAAAAGATCGCGGATCGAAGAAATGTCCAAATGTGGGCGGCCGCGAGTTGCGGCGACACGAAACCAGTTTATGTTGACGGAGAAGAGAGCGAGCAGCCTCACTGGCTGGCGTGTAGGCTCATGCATGAGGACTTCAGAGCATTATGGCATTTTCAAACCAGATGTATGGTGAAGCCGTATGATACAGCCGAATGGTGCTGTCATATGGTGTTGTAGAATGGCGCCTACAAATGGAAAAACAAGATATGGACAAAAAATACATGGACGCGTTATAAATCGCTAAGTATGAAAAACTCGGCCATAAGACATTAACATACAGATCATGAAGCCTGCAAAAACGCATTAAGCCTTCGATCTGACCACTTCCTCTGGTAGGTCCGCTGGTAAAAGACTGGAAAGTATCCAATGTCACCTGTAGGGAAACCGATCTGAAATGCAAAACGGCTTAGCACGGTTGACTTCAGCATTGACTTTAATCAGTGGCGTCCTTAGCTTGGTCGTGCTTTGCAGCACTGCTAAGCCCAGGCGAGTATGTGCGTGCTCCTGGACTTTGTCTACCAATAAAGATCCGTCTGAACGTTCGTCCCTGTCATGAAGCCGGGGATACGTTTCGCCGTGTTTGGCGTCGGCGTCAGGCGCGGCGCGGTAATTTCCCGTTATCGGCTGCGACATGAGAGGCAGCTTAGCGTCTGGCCACCGCGGGACCATGTGTCAGCAGCGGATGGAGGTGACGTCGAGCTGGGGTCGGCTTAAGGTGAAGGCGGTTCTCTGGTCGTGGTTGCATGAACGCTTGTGAGCGCATCTTTAACGTTTATTGCTGATTCAAATTCATGTGTTGAAAGTTCAAATAATTTGTCATTATAGCTTCCTAACGGCATAGCTTAGCATAGCCTAGCTCCACCTCTGAAGTGCCAGAATGCTTTCACGGGATTCGAAAGTCACGCAGCCTCGCACCTTAGGTCTAGGTGGATTAGTGAAATATTGCCGACAAACAGTCATGATTTCCGGTTTTCAACCACTGCGTTGAAAATCATGGACACCTCCTTGGATGTCTGTCTATCGATCAGTTGCTTATTTTCAGTTGTATGGTGTGCATCGTTGGATCACACCCACAGTTTGCGGCGGCTTTTCTAAATGGATGACCTAGTCTGGCCTCCCATGCCACCAAAGCGGTTCGGTTTGACACTGCCGGTGGTACTTTGCTTGTATAGCGCCGCTGGATCGATGGATACGGCGCCGGTCTGGGTTTTGAGCTGAGCGCCTCCGGGCGGCCGTCGCGCAAGGCGCTTACGGCGGGTTGGAACTATAGAGGCCAGGTCATGCCCCAGCTTAGGTCAGCGACAGAAAAACTTATACAGTATTCCGCGATTTTGAGTGCCGCTTGCAGCGCATTATGTTGATTCCAACTCCGATCCACAGCGGCACAACACAACTTGAGTCGATTCCAACTCCAACTCCAGGATAGGTTGTGGAATCGTGAATTGATTGCGTTGTGCTCGGTTCTTCTGACAACAGCTCATAAATCTGGTTTTTTAGTGGCCTTGGTCATTAAAGAACAGTTATTGACCAGGTCGATCAACATCTGTTCCTCAGACTTCAGCAAATAGCATACACGATGTTTAATTCCGCCGCATATCACTGTATCCTATTCAGTCCGCGTTCAACCTGTCCTGCCCCTGGTACATCCGGCTGCCTAATTTGTACCCACTTTTCATTTAAAGTCTTACCACAACTAGCTCAGTTGACTCAACCCCAGCCTCGATTCACAGCAAAGGTTCAAAAGGATCGAGTCCACCCTGACGCAGTGAACACTTGGTCGCTTCCTGAGTCGATTACGATCCCGGCCGTAGCCGAGCGTCCTATCTGACGAACTTCCGTTACCCAGTTACGCATAACTTCCGCCGGTAGAAACAGAACGCTAGACTCGCGCTCCCATTAGCTTGCCGTGTATCTTAATATAACGCTGCGACTATAACTGCGGCGTTTCACGAATACGCATTGCATTTGCTGGATTTGTGCATGACATGATGTGAAGGTGTAAAGGCTCCTAAAACTGACAACAATATGTCTATACTCCTGTTTCAACCCCCATTTCGTTCGCGCGCACCTTTACCGCCCATTCTTTTTATATGCCTTCCTAAATATCAGTGGTATGTTTGTACCGCTAATGGCCTTACTGGCATTATCCCCAGCCACGCCCGTCTCGATCGCTGTTTGCAGGTGGGAGACTTGAAGAACGGCAGGACGGTGCACTCGTTGGCCCGCCTGCTGACCTTGTACAAGGTCCACCTCCAGTATGTCTGCCCTCCCGGCCTGGAGATGCCGCAGCAGGTCAGTTACCGCCCGCGACTGTGTTGGGATCCCATGTGCTGTACAGAACACGGATCCCAACTGGACCCGTGGCTACGTGGCTTGGTAGTTTCGCAAAACAGATTTCGGGTTCATATCGTGCGCTTGCTTTGTGTTAAGCCACTGTTTTTGCCGATGGATCCGGTGCACGTATGACGGCGGCGGTGGTAATTACTGGCGGTGGATGCTGTGACGGGTCGTTGGAGGGGAGAGGCGCGGTGTTAATCTCGCTTCCAGCCGTAGCACATTCCGCCTCCCAGCATCGCCGCCGGGCGAACCGGTGACAACTCCGCCTGCCGCCGCCAGGTGGTGGACTTCGTCTCGGCGCACGGCGTGACGCAGGACGAGCTGCGCGTCGCTGGAGGAGGCGCTGCCCGACTCGGACGTGGTCTACATGACGCGCGTGCAGCGCGAACGCTTCGCTGACGAGGCCGAGTACGGCCGGTGCGCCGGCCGGCTGGTGCTCACGCCGCACCTCATGACGCTGGCCAAGCCGCGTGCCATCATCATGCACCCGCTGCCGCGCGTCGACGAGGTCAGCGCCGAGCTCGACAACGACCCGCGCGCCGCGTACTTCCGCCAGGCCGAGTACGGCATGTATGTGCGCATGGCGCTGCTCGCCACCGTGCTCGGACGCGGCTAGCGTCGTCTAGTGGTGAAGTAGTGGCGCCATCTGCGGCGGAGATGGTGACGCCCTTTGCGATCACGAGTGGCATATCGTTGTTGGTCGGGATAGTTATGCTCAACGGCAACACATATGCCGTATCTAACGTAGAAGCTCACGATATTTTTTAGCATTCTGTTATGCTGGTGCTGGGGTTTATAAATACATGACTGCATACCGTCATTGTCTTACATGGTGGCGTTCCATGATGCGGGCGAAAGGGTATGTATTACGCCACAAATGCACAAACAGGTGCAGCAGCATCCACCAACGCACTTGACACGCGAGTTATGCCGTAAGGTAAAACGCCGGAACCAAATTACCTCAATTACATCAGGATGACGGGAACAGCAGACCCTGCCACAGCATGGGAGCATGGGCTTCTGGGTAACCTGAGAGCCTCGATATCACTTCTGATCGGATTTTGAAGGCAATGAATTACGGAAATCAGATGTTAGACGTCTGTATGGAATAAATCTGCAGCATTTTTCATTGTACAATGGTTCAGAGGATTCCTTCTAAGACGATAGAATCCCGACACCTCCCAAAGTTTTGATCGGCATATTAGCTCCACAGAAATATTGACGACCCCGTTAACTAGATCGTAAATCGAATGGATCAACATTTGTCTTTTCATGGCCATCTCACGTTTGCCTGAAAAGCCTCGCCATCTGGTCAGAATTGATTAATGAGAAAATAATGTAGCGTTGTTTTGAGCATGTATGCTTCCAAACCTTAGCCACCGAAGCCTCGGCGCTTGGCGATGCCATCTCCGCACGGCGTCGACTCCGCGGCTAACACCCAAACCTTAGCCACCGAAGCCTCGACGCCTTGGCGATGCCGTCTGCGCACGGCGTCGACTCCGCGGCTGACACCCAAACTTTAGCCACCGAAGCCTCGGCGCTTGGTGATGCCGTCTCCGCACGGCGTCGACTGCGCGGCTAACACCCAAACCTTAGCCACCGAAGCCTCGACGCTTGGCGATGCCGTCTCCGCACGGCGTCGACTCCGCGGCTGACGCCCAGACCTTAGCCACCGAAGCCTCGGACGCTTGGTGATGCCGTCTCCGCACGGCGTCGACTGCGCGGCTAACACCCAAACCTTAGCCACCGAAGCCTCGATGCTTGGCGATGCCGTCTCCGCACGGCGTCGACTCCGCGGCTGACACTGAGCAGTGACAAACGGGTGGGCGCAAATCTGGCGTTGAAGCTAGAGGGGTTAAGGAAGAATCTCAATTTTCCCTGTTGTTGTAATTGCTAATCCAACGAGAAAAAAACCTCAAAATTGCAAAACAAAGAAATACAAGCTCGAGTCTGATCTGCATACGGTGTGGATTTATTTTGAGCGGTTTTTAAAGGCATTTTACGACGGTCGTTATCCCGCGCACCGCGTTGCCGTCCAACGACGTCCGGTTTCAAGGAACCTGCAACCCCGAAAAAAACGTTGTTCTTGCTTCTGGGACCGCGTGCGCGTAAGCTCAAAACTTTTTGATGCAATTTTTTCCTTAGTCTATCTTACAAAAGAGTGTTCGTGAATGAACGCCTTCAGGTAAACATGGGCTGACTTTGGACTTCTCCATTTCTGAATTCATTTCGACCTACTCTTTGCAACACTTATAAGACCTATCACTATTTCAGGTTCTTGAGTAGAACTCTAAGGGCCGATAATCGTTCTCGGTCAAGGGCTGAAGGGTTATTTAGTCCTAGCGCGGGGTGGCCTCCAGCTGTCGCTTTGGCGACACGGAAACGGGTACCCTGGTCGAGCCAGAAGCCCTCAGAAGGAAACGTCATATCACATTGGCCCCTCCCCCCTGGCCTGACGCGGGAGGCTTTCTGACCCACGCAGTTGGTCCCGAATCGACGCAGGAAAGCTCATTGACGCCACAAGATATCTGATCCAGTGGTCCAATAATTGACGCATATACTCCAATTCGGCTTAACGGGCTCATGGCTGGAAATGGGCTGGACGGCCCACCGTCCGGTCCGGGGCTCCGACTAACAAAGGACCCTTTTATTCTCTCAATGTGAATTCTCATCATAAAGCTCCTCAGGTTTCCTTTCATTGTCAGAAGGCCTCGGCCAGCGCAAAAGGCCCCTGGCATTGGGGATCCCGTCTTGTCCCTACTAAGCGGACGTTTCCCTGGTCAACGCGAGGCCCTTTGTTGACACAGGACACTATGTTAGGTAACGTGATCCCCTGACCGACACAGTAGCCCCGCATTATTTCAGGGGCCCCGACCAATGCAAATGTCAGGTCCGGCATTGTCTCTGGTTGGAAAATGGGTCCCCTGAGCTCGGACCGCACGGAGGCCACCGTTGGGTGTTGGTGATTTCTAGCCAAAATAGAAGGACGCACTGTCTCAGAGTCTCCAATCGGTGCAAGAGGCCTTCTAACTGGCATTTCAGATCACGGCCTTACGGGCAGGAGTCCTTAATGCGGGGGAAATCTATGCACCACCAAACTCCAATAAGTACGACCAGCCATTCGGGCCCTTCAGCCTTCCATTAGGGCCCTTGATCTTTGGTCCCGGTGGGCTCTTCGGGCCCTTCTTCGGGCCCTCAAACATGGCTTCTGGCGTCTCAGGGCCTCCTGGCAGACACAGGACCCCCCGCTAGGCACTATATGGGCCGCTGACAGACACCGGCATTGTTTCAGGGACCCCGACCAATGCAAATCGCGGGCACGGCCTTGACCACGCTTGGTGAATGAGCCCTTAGGGCCCAGATCGACACAGACCAGACTGTCCAATGTTGGGGGTATCTGGCCGAAAAGAGGCCCGCACTCTCCTACAAGGCCTCGATCGATGGAAGAGGAACTGTGACTAAATCCGAAGTCACAGCGCTACAGTCGGGGGCTGCCTTTCTTGAGACCTATGGTCAGTCCTTCGAGTCCTTCGGCCCCCCTCAGGCTTCCGATTGGGCCCTTGATGCTCGGTTCTGAGGGGCTCGAAAGGCAGCTCAGAACATAAGGGGGGGGGGGGCACGGACCCCTGGCCTTGTGCCCTGTGCCTGTGCCACTTATCCTGCCTGAGAGCTCTTGGGTTCTCGACGCCACCGTGCCCGGCGGCGGTGACTCCCGTACGTATATGCCATATAATATGCCCTACAGCATATTTGTACGTAATTAACAAATACCAGTTTTTTCATTAGGCGTTTAGCGAACAGCACTCGCGCTGTTTAAAATGTCCTGCCACGGATTAAGGACACTTGATAATTTTACTTCAGTTTACTATTTTTATTAACAACTTCACTAATTTGGTAGCTTTTTTAGAGTTCGTTTATCGCGCATGTGCTACAGTTACAGTGTTGCAGTCACCTTGGTTGCAGTCTGGTTGCAGGCGTAGGGCGCTATGTAACGTCAGTTACGCTCAACTGGTGTCCGTGGAGGGGCGGCCATCTCCATTTGCGTTGCGAAGACCGCTGAGAGTTGAGTGGGAACACATTTTGACCACGCCGAATCATTTCAAGGTGCGTTCTCGGCCCATCTCATGTTTTCATCCTGAAGCTGTGTGTATTGAAATCCTGGTCAATCTGGAAAGTGCAGTTTCCATGCTCATTGATAAAATTGATAAATCTCCATCATTGATTATTAGTGAAGGCCTCGAAATATGAATTGCAAGAGTTTGTGGGCTTATGATGTTATAGTAATGAATGTGAAATCCTGCAGTTGTTCTTTGGGTCACTTCTAGTGTGTTAGTACTTACTCATTTATGTTACTGAAGGCACCAGTTTGACCTTAACAGGAAAAAGCTATGGGGCTCCTTTGAGGTTTTTCTTAAAATTGTTGCCTGTGGGCAAGCTGGATAATGGGAATGTAATTGAGCAGCAGCTCGGTTTTAAACTTTACAAAGGTCTTACAGGACTTACTAGTATTCCTTCCTCTTCTTTATGGATCTCACATCTGCATACCATGGCAGGATTTCACAATATCTTCTTTGGACACATGTGGGGGCAAAGCATACAATTTTGGGCAGTTTTTCAGAGTTGCTTTCAGACAAAAGTCATGGAATTGAAACATTAATTGTATCACATTATGTTCCATTTTATACAAAACTGGGAAAGTCACAGAAATTGAGCAAATCTGATGTCATTTCATGGTTTGGGATAAGGCTAACAAAATGTTCAGATGGGGAAGTTTATGATTCAGTCTGCCTCAAACATCTCAATGGCATGTTTGCCATGGTTTGCAGATGGGTGCATATCTGATATTGAGAGAAGTGGTCAGGGTTGGCACATACACATGATAGCTCCATTGCCTTGACATCTTAATTTTTTTGTAATTCAGGCATTTTTGTTTTTTTATTATTTATAGCATGTGTAACTATATTTTGTGATATATATTTTGTTACTGGTGCAAAGAAGATCAACAGCACCGGGGTAATATGATTGCGCACAGTAAAACCTTTGCACACTGAGACGCCACTTGATGCTGAAGATCTTGAAACATTGAATTTGGAAATCTTATGCCTTGTTATATTTGCTATTGGATGGAAAACAGTTAACAATTATTGCCTTCTACCCTATCTTTAAAAGGAGTTGTTTTCACATTTCGGCTTCCCAATTGTGCTACTCCTTTCCCCAGTAGTGGAATATTATGGGGATTGTGGCAAGAGAAACATGCTGAAGAGCTTGGGAATAATGCAATACAAACACTGTGCAATGGGCGTGTTTTTATATTTGATGGGGGCACAGTATTCCCCAACTTTGGGGAAGAAGTAGGCTTCTTGGGGAGAAACCAGATTTTTTAGGACATTTTGAGATGGGGCTTAGTCTTTTTTCCTGCCTAGGGTCCACAACTTGTGTTGTCAAACTATGCTCTTGGCTAATGATATTGTATGGAAAAAGATTACTTGGTGACTGACCTTGCATGGGTCTCTAAATCTAGTAGGTGTGGTCTTGCACCCTGCACAGCACCAGCATGGTGGTTTAAGATAGTCTTGTCCCTGACTGCTGAAAAGGGTGCAAAGTGTTGTCTGACATGTTGAACCCACTGTGCTCAATATCATGGCTTGACTTATGGGTCTTGCCCCCAGGCACTTTCATATCTGCAGTTAACAGGTGTGTGTTAGTGCAGTAGCATCCATGAAATGGCCAAAATATGTTTTATTATATAATTCTGTGAGCACGAAGATTGTGATACTGAAATTGTAAGCAAAAAATGAATCTGGCTCAATTTGGTCTTTTTGGTGTGCTTAGGTCATCAACAGTCATCATGTCAGCCTCACTTAACATTCATTTGTAGCTTTTTATCCTGCAGAAAATACTTGTATGCTGTCTTCTGAAAACAGAGACCATTTCAGAGGTCTCAGGCATCTTAAAAGGCTTCACATTGCTCAAAACATGGTGTTGTGTTTTCTCAACTTGGTATTGGGGCATCACCAAAATGAGATGTTTTTCTACCAGCTTTCATGTGGCTCTAATATACTGGTAATCGCTTGGATTTCTGTACAAATTGGCACCAATGGTTATTTGGTGCCATCTGGCACAGTATCAGCTCAGTCTGGCGTACCAGTCATGACATAAATAGCCTGTGGCTATTTGTAGGGCTTGATGTGGTGATTGTATACATTTATTGTTTTTGCTCCAATCAAAATGCACAAAGCCCTACCACACATTATATTTTCAGATTATAAATCCTTTCAGATGCTAGCATTAACTGGTCCTGCAAACGTAAGTAAATTAACCCAACAAGCCAGAGCAGTAGCCACCATACTACACTTGCACAGCTTGGCAAGTGGCAAAAAATGTATCATACAAAATGCATTCTGTTCTACCCAAGGGCTGTTGATGTCCAATACACAATTTTCGTAAATGGATGGTAATCAGGCCCCCTTCTAAGTCTTTAACTGGTCCTTTTTTAGCCAACTGCATGCCTCATCTTTCATGGCTGACTAGCTCTTGCATGGTCAGTGGCCCTTTTCAGCCAGAACAAACCTGTGGCGTTTTTTTGTGTCTGGAATTATCTTGAGTGTAGCAAACACTGCAGTGAGTGTCCCGGCCATGGCCCGTGACCTCTATCCATCGCGTAATGTCATGTCGCTGCAGCACTCGGAATTCAGGAGATAACCAATGCTGAGGCAAGCTATAAAGGCCTCGAGCCTTGCAATCCGTTGTCCCTTGCAGCCCCTTGTCAACCCGTTGTCCACGCAGCGTTGGCATGTCAGTTGCCCTGATTCGTATTGCTCCACACGAGAGTCACACTCGTGCAGCCCACCAGCCGCCTGATCCCACGTCAGCTGTCTGTACCCAGGCTGCCCTGAGACCCGCTGAAGCCGGTGCAGGCGCGCCCCACGAACGTCTGACACTGGAGCCGGGGATGGGATGACGGAAGCGATGAGGTGATGGGGTTCGCGTGGAGCCGGCGACCAAGTCCTGTGGCCAGTTGGCGTCGTTGCGCTGCAGGATCGACCGGACTTAATGCTGTAGCATTCGCTTCGCTGCTATATTCGTAGAACTGATGCTGTTCATGGTGGATTTCACGCACCAGAGATCACTTGATGTCAATTTCTAGAGAAATAGGAGTGATTATCAATGCAATAGAGCCGCCTGACAAGAACCAGACAAATGCTCCATTTCGGTGATGTTCCAATGCCTAAGTGGATTAAAAGGGCTATGTTTTCGGCCATGGTAAGGCTATTTAGACACACGCGCGCTCTCGAATGCTGTTTTTGTTTTGGAAAGACAATGTACGGAAGGCGTTGCTTGCAGAATCAAAAGTTCATAATGGTTGTTACGTGAGGCTGATACGATGGCCCTTGACCGATGTCATGAGGTTCCGTTTTCCGAATCGGGCCAGATGAATTTTCTTGCTGCGGCCTCGTGCAAATGCTTGCGATTCCGGTAATGTTTATGTTGATAGCGTTTCGTTTAGTATGTGTGCTGCGGCGCTCAGAACATGCTAACCAATACAACATCATATTCTAAAAACGCTTCGAGGCATAACTCGTTTCCCATGGGTCAGAGGGACCTGATATCATGCCAGATGGATTTTATGCATCAGACAACACCCGTTTTTAATTTGCAGTGAAATCTTAGACATGGTCGTGGAAGTCGTACTGCGCTGGGTGGTAGGCTGCATCAGTATGTTTTGCCGCCTGTACTTTCCTTTTGTCCATCTCTAAGTAAATGTTGAATGGGAAAATGATGTAGTTACGGTACCCTAGAGATGTGTAAGTGTTCGAAATCCCAAAATTCTGGGAGCAGAACAAAGACTGCTGCCTGAAACCCCTTACGGAACTTCAAGGATCTTCTCATGCAAAAATAAGAGTGAATTAAAAAGTGAAAGAGGTAAGAAAGACTTCCATGAAAGACTTTTGGAAAGGGTGTCCTTTTTATCGAATTGGATTTTTAATGTTGCACATGTTGTACAGCTAACAACGAAGCATTGTGTCATGCAGATGGCAGCTGCTCCCGCCAGCCCGACAAAAGAGACCAGCGACAGTGAACCTGAGCACCACCGAGTGATCATCATTGGCGGTGGTGTCAGTGGCCTGTCTGCTGCCTCATACCTAGTCAAGAATGGCATCACAGACTTCAAGCTGCTGGAGGCCCGTGGTCGTCTCGGTGGCAGGGTGGTGGCCGTGACTGTAGGTAAGATGGCGCTGCACTTCAGATGGTGCTTGTTCCTAGGACGTTATTGCCACGTTTTCAAGACGGACTGGGTCTGGGTCCCGGCTAGCCACCGGCTGATTAGCTGGCCCGCCCTGCCTCCATCCCCCCCCCCTTCCTATGTGTTTGTCGTGATCTGGAACACATGGGGCACATCTGGTCGTACTCGTGGTTACTGGCTGGTGCGCTGACCTGTCTGAGTTATTGGCTTCTTGCCGGCTGTGATGACCGGTAACCGCTGGCATCGGCCACTCTCAAGTTCAGATGTCGGAGGGTTGAACCAACCGTGGTTTACATTGCGGCGCAGAAAATGTGCACAACAAAAGGCTGCTGGTGACGCGGAGGTTCACGGTAGGATGGTAGGATAGGGGCTCCTACAACGAGCACTGTCTGGCGTAGCCTCTGATCCCAGAAAGGCATCCAGTCTGGTCGAGGCTAGCCGGACTACGGGTTGTCGTTACAGGGCCCGTCACCGGCTGCTAGCCAGCTGGCGGACTGGCAGCGGGGGCTTCTTCAATCAAGTGAAAATGCGAACTTACGCACTCTGGTCTGTGTCGCGTGAGTTAGACGAAGATTAAGTTAACGTGACAGTCACGCCCTATTTGTCCATGCCTTAAAGCTGACACCAGGTAAAATTGGCTGGGCTCCGGCTCCGATGCATCTGCTCCACAGTTTCAATGTGCTTGGCTAGTACGCTTAAAAAAGAACAGCCCGCCGATGTCTGATGACCACTTTGCTGGGTCCCATGATTTTTGTCCTTTGGATCCTGACTGGAACTGATCCATATTTTAACAGACTAAAATCAGTTCAAGTTACCCCACAACCCCAAGGACCTAGTTAACTCTCACAATTCTTGGAAATCCCCTGAAGCCAGGCAAATCTTGGAAAAATTTAATGTTCAACAACAACCCTTCCTGCGGCCGGCGTCTAGCCAAAGCTGCTAGACTCCGCCTGCGGCTAATCAGCCGAGCGATGGCCGGTCGGCTAACCGGCTGATCGAGAACCAGCGTGGATTGAATCAAATCTCAAAGGACAAAGGCAGACAAAATACTAACAGAAGGGCGGCCAATGTTCTGGTGCTCATCATAGTCTGGCTGTGTGCTGACCTGAGCGGACCAACGAGCTGCGCGGTGTGTGCTGCAATTGACCTGGAACTACTCCTGTTCAGGGCTTGGCATAGCTCGACCGGGTGGAGTGCCCGCGCACGGCCGTGCGGAGTGACGGAGGTTTGAACTTGGCTGTCGGCCAGTGTCTGGCCGTCGCTGGCTGAGGTCATCCCGACTGTCTGGCCGTCGCCGGCTGAGAGCAGCGCGACTGTCTGACCGTCGCTGGCTGAGATCAGCGCGACTGTCTGGCCGTTGCTGGCTGAGACCTGCCCCAGTGTTTGGCCGTCGCCGGCTGAGATCAGCGCCAGTGTTTGACCGTCGCTGGCTGAGATAAGCGTCAGTGTTTGGCTAAATTTGTCTGGTTTGACCAAATATTGTGACGGTAGTCACCTCACGCTTCCCAATATGGACATATGGCGATGCCACGGGCCGGCGCAGCGGTGGGGTCACGTTGCGCGTCCTCGCGGGGGACGGCGGGGCGCAGGGGCTCCGACCCTCAAAAAGGGTGTGCTCCTCCAGCCCGTGGCACACCCTGTCGAGTCCGACACCGCGGGGATTTATCCGGCGAAATCTCTTGGGGAAGAGGGGATGAACAGGTGAAGTCAGTCTTGTGGAGCGAAGGGGATATCTGTTATAACTGTGCAGAAGAAACGGCTGCTTTTGAAATCACTTGATTTTCTGGACGTTTTCCATTGCAATGCTGCGCGCCTGCATGGCGATTGGCGACATTTGTTTTTCCGCGGACCTAAGGAGAGCAAATGTCGCATTTTTTTCCTGGCGTAACGACCGTATGTTCACGTAACTCCCCGATCTTGAGCCCAGACGTTTGACGAGTCCCCATTCTCCAGCCATCTGTAGCCATTTCATTAAGCAGAAATGCTTGTTGGCTCCAGACAGGGATGTGCACAAAAGAACGCGCGGTCCGTATCGTGTGGCCTGCTGTCTTAGTAGATGTCGTAGCCATCACGGAATCGGAGCTCTGGTGGTTGCAACCGTGGATATTTCAGACCAAATATTTGCGCTGCCACGAGCAGACGTCGCGTTCACGCGCCCTCGCCAGCGTTGTTTATTGATATAAGGCGTCAGTCAGTTTTTCTGCCTGACGGTGTCCACGCCGTGCAGAGAACATATTGCAGACGAAGTCATTGGTCCCATTAACATTTTCGTCTTGGAAATACCGCGCCGCTCTTTATCAATGCTTACGCTCATGTTCATAGCTCAGTGCTCGGCGCCGGAATTTTGATTGTGTGAGCCCTCGAGCATGGGTCGTCTGTGTATGTGCCATCTGGGAGTGACAATGCATGGTTGCGATGGAAGTGTTTGAGACATGAATGGATAGACTAACAGAAGAGCACTGCGCGACGTTTTGAGGGAGGCGTCTCAGGCAATGGTTCAGGCTGCTGACCTGCGCCTTGGGGGAACCCTACCGGAAGACGTCACTTGTTGGGCCCGTCATTGCCGGATCGTGCTAGTGTTGCTGTGCTCTGTGTGAGTGGTGAGCCGCGCAACACGGCTAGCGGGCGCCTGAGGAGGAGGTGGCCGCAAGCTGCCACCATCGACGGTGTGTTTATCACAACCTGATAAAAGTGCAGAATACAGCCTGCTTTGGGTATACCACACATAACTCCACTACTCTACTATGGTACTATTACCACTATACATAAATCTACTACGGTACTCCACATAATGCGAACATTTTGTGGAGCAATGCCAGGTTACAGCGTTGACCTACCTTACTTGCCTTACGTTGACTTACCTTACGTGTCGCTTGTTAATTTTCGTGACGTTTTCGCGAAGTGCGTTGGCATCAGTTACGTTGACTTACCTTACGTGTCGCTGGTTAATTTGTCGTGATGTATTCGTCAAATGCGTTGGCATCAGTCAGAACGATCTTATGACGACTATCGACTTTTATTTTGCCCTCACCACCCAAATTGGAACGCAGCACGCAGACAGGCCCGCCATTGGGCCACGGCCATGACGCGCGACAACCCTGGCGCGCCACAGACCGAACCAAGACGCGGCGCGTCGGCTCGGCCTCACTGGGCGGACTCCATGGTGATCTTGACGCCGCGCGCCTCCAGCCGCTGAATGAGCGTGGTGTCGGCGAACGCGGCGCCGGGCGGCAGCACGCCGCCGCGGCCCGGCATGCGCTCCGTCTCGCGCAGCACGCACACGGCGCACTGCACCACGCACAGCGCCGTGGTGAGGTAGGCCGCCTCGGGGAACTGCAGGCGCAGCGTGAGCCGGGCGTCGGGCGGGCCGCTGGCGCCCGGCTCGCGCCAGCCCTCGCCCTCGCAGACGACCTCGAGCCGCGACTGGCGCAGCTGGCGCGCGCTCGGGCCGCGCCGGCTGATGAGGCCAGCCGAGAGCCGCTCCGGGAAGGCGCGCAGCAACCGCTGCCCGCCCGGCACGAAGCAGAGCAGGCCGAACAGCACGGCGGCGGCGATGATGGCCAGCGCCCGCCAGAAGCCCGACACGGCCACGTACTGCTGCAGCTGCACGGGCGGCAGGCCGCGCTGGCGCAGTCGCCAGGCCTGCGTGCGCGCGTGCACGAACACGTCCGGCCCCAGGAAGGGCACGCACCAGCGGCCGCCGAGTGCGCGCGCCCGGTGCAGCAGGCCGCGGTGCGCCAGCCGGTGGCGCGGCGCCGGCAGCGGCTTCGGGAACAGCCGCTTCTGCAGCCGCAGCACGGGTAGCACGCACGCCGTGCCGTGAATGCTCGACACCCACGTGCCGTAGTGCACGCCGGCGTAGCCGTCGGCGCCGTGCTGCATGCGCAGGTAGCAGCGCACGCCGCTGAGGCCGCCGGCCATGGCGTGCTGCAGCAGCAGCGAGCCTACCTCAGCCGGGATCGAGTCGAAGCCGCACGTGCTGACGCAGAAGACGCGGCGCCGTTCGGCCTCGTCATGCAGCTCCACCTGGCAGCGTTCGATGAAGAGTCGCTCGCCGCAGATGTCCAGGTAGTGCGTGCCGGCGCGCAGGCAGGCGCGCACCACCGGCTCGCCCAGCTCGTAGAAGGGCCCGGTGGTGTTGATGAGCACGCGGCTGCGCTGGCACAGCCGGTTCAGGCTGACCGTGCTGCTGATGTCGGCGTGCAGCACGCTGACGTCGGCGCTGATGGTGTCGCCCAGCAGCTGGCGCAGGCGGCGCGTGTCGCGGCCGGCCACGCCCACGCGCAGGCCGAGCTCGCCAGCCACGCGGCTCAGCTCGGCCGCCACGTGGCGCCCGGTGAAGCCGGACGCGCCCAGCAGCACCACGTCCAGCCGCTGCTCCGGCTCCGCGCCTGCCGTCATGGCGGCGGATCCTGAAGCCAGGCGCGGCGGAGGGCGGCGCGGTACGGGTCTCCGGACGACGCGCTGGCGCGGGAGGATGCTCGCTGCCGGCCTGGCGGCGGCGTGGGACGCGTGACGGAGGGCGGCGCGGGAGCGTGGACTCCGCTGAGGGCGGACAGCGCGCGTGACGCTCGACGCGCGGCGCGGAGCGGTGCGAGGCTCGGCCGAGGGCGCAGCGGCGAGTGAGCGTCGCCTGCCGGCCGGACCGGCCGACGCCCGGGCGGCTGACAGGTGGCGGTCATCAGACGGCTGCCGTCTGGCCGGTGATGACCAGCTAATCGGCGCTGATGGCCCGGACGGGCGGCGATCGATCAAGGGACAGGCGAGCGAGCCTGCCCGCGTCGGCTGGCGACAGGCCGGGGGTGAGGGGTCAGGTCCCATCAGCAGACTGACGCTTCGGACGGGCGGCTTGGGGACAGATGCTGGTGAGGGCACGCTGAGGAACCTCACGCACCACGGGGATGTTCTCGTGTGTTCGACATAAGGTTGTAGCAACGGTTTGAGAGACCCGACCGGAAGGTGAGGTAAAGCGGTACAAGCAAGAAGGGCCTAAAGCTCCTTGCCATGACTCATAAGCATAAGCACTGACAGAAACATCAAGCGTACCCATAACATATCCACATGGTTGCTTTATACATTTGCGCAACTAGTACCTCCTCGTATATTGCACGTAGGATACTCTCAGAACGCATGAAGGCAACTGGACCGGGTTCATGGGCGGGGAAACGTGTCAGGTAGCCTGTGACAATCATCGGAGGGAATAGGCCCTACACTAAACTGGCGTGTGGTTGGTAGGTTGGACGGGGTGCTAACGCGACTGTCCCGGGATGAGGGGGGGGGGGGAGGCGGTACACCGGCAGACGGCCTGATTGGGGCGCAGCTCACCGCGCGCGCAGACCGGTGAGCGGGAGATGGCGAGGCTGCCGGCCGCCGACGCCGCGGTGCCCGACCAGAGGTGGCCGGTCTCGTGCGCGTGCTGGGCGACACCCCGCCGGGGCCGAGGTGTGGGGCTGGTGACGTGCTCTCCATGGGGGCAGCTCACGGGGTGTGGTGTGAGATGTGTCTGCCTGTCCGGCCGGGGTCGGGCGCTTCTGTCAGCCTCACCGGAGTATCCATTACGTGCGCGTGGCCGACAGCTGACTGCCATGACGGTGTCTGGTGTTTCTGATTCGCACCCGACTGATTAGTTTGTCCCGGGCAATCGGTATCCTGTGGCAACATCGCGTGTTCCACATATTGGCGTGCGAGTGTAGCCGATGTCCCGTGACGCCCACGCCGTGACCTCCGGCTGGCGCGTGCCTGGCCGGCCGGCGCCGGACCTGACCGTGGCCGCCGGCTCGCCAGACCACCTGAAGCTGCAGCTGGGCGCCATGTGGATCCACGGCGTGCTCGGCAACCCCATCTACGAGCTGGCCGTGAGCTGCGGCCTCATCAGCGCCGTCCAGCACCAGCACCAGCGCCGCCTCATGGCCTGCAGGGAGGACGGCCGCCGCGTACCCTTCCACATCGTCGAGGTCAGCAGAGACGGCTGCCGGCGCCGGCGGGGTGACGCCGCGAGGTGGCGGCAGCGGCGTGTCTCCTGGCTGCTGCCGTGTGGGCGGCAGCGTCCGGTGTGACTGTGCGTTCGGTTGCGCCGTGCGATGTAAGAGCCAGGGGGAAATCCGGGTGCGTGCTTCGCGAATGGAGTGCTCCTATCCAACGCTCCTAAGGCCGAAGTCGAAAAACGAGGGTACTGTTATGAATAGCGCGAACGCTGGCACGCCATCTACTGCTCGGAGATCGGTGATGCGATATCATGGTTGATGCATCTGCCCGCCGCCCCCCCCCCCCCCCTTCCTTGTGAGCATCCCCACATATTGAGATCTTCTCCATGTTGTGCCCAGTACAGCAGGGCTTGGCCGCCACCCCGCCTGACGTCTGGGCGTCGGCCGCGGCTGTCCGTGGCGCTCCGCTGAGCCCAGCCTCACCTGCGGCCGCCGTCCGCGCTCCGGCAGGAGGTGTACGAGGCGTACGAGGCGTTCCTGGACCGCTGCACCGAGTACTTCCTGTGCAAGCACGAGCCGCCCGACGGTGTGCAGTCGGTGGGCCAGCACGTGCGGCTCGAGGTCGACCTGTACCTGGCGACGCTGCCCGAGCGGGAGCGCGAGGTGCGCCGCCGGCTCTTCGAGTACCTGCTGAGGCGGGAGGCCGTCATCTCTGGCGCCCACTCCATGGATGAGGTCAGGGCGGCGGCGCCCGCGCGCGCGCGCAGTGCGGTGGAGGTGCCGAGGAAGTGGGATGGGGTGGGCGGGCGTGGGGTTGGTGGGTCGGCGCGTCTGGCCTTGTTACCACAGTTTGGCCACAGTTAGGCGACGGTGCAGACGTGGCGAGGAGGGGGAGGGTCACCAGGATCTGCGACGGTGGAAAGGACTTAGGTGATGAATTAGATTGATTGATATGATTCCTTAGGGCAGTATTTTAGGACCAAGTACCACCGCTTACCAGTCTCCACGCACTGCGAGCACACTACAGCCGCCGCGAACGCCGATCATGGCGTACCTAACATATCAATGAGCATATCATATCAATCATAACATATCAATGTTAGTTTGGTTTCCTCGCCGCCGAAAGCAGTTGTCTCGGCCACGTGTCGTACCTATCCACTCAGCTGCCCGTTCACCGTGCTACTGCAAGTACTGCTGTGGAGCAGAACATGTCACTGTCCGGCTGGTCGGTGGGAGGCAAAGTTGAACTACTTTCCCTGATCGCTACGCCGCGGAATATATTCATTAGGCGGTGTCGTCGTGGACAAACTGCGTGCGATGCTGACGGGCAGGGGTGGGCCTAAACCCCACGAGCCAGCCCCCCGCATTGGCCGCACATCTGTGGTAGTGTCATGTGAGACAATGCACTGCAGCTTGCTGATATTTGAGGTTCTTTAATAGCACAGGCTGCTCGCCCTTCGTGTGGTGACGTCATTAGCTTAGCAGACCTAATTCGTCACGCACGTTACGTATTTGTCTGTTCGAAGTCGGAGCAGCTGTCATTTGGACAGCACTGTGTGATATGCTGTGCGATTTGAATGTTACAGTCGTCGTTGGCGGTCTGCCGCGTCCATTATTCTTCCGCAGCGTCAGCGCCAGACCAGTCCCGGGATCGCTCGTCACTAGCGCGCTGCGTCCGTGCTTCCTGACTGACATGCCCCGCCGGCGTCCAGGTGGACCTGCTCGGCAGCGGCACCTATTGCGACCTGCCGGGCGGTAACATCCTGCTACCGGACGGCTACTCGTCGATCCTGGGCCCGCTGCGCGAGGGTGTGTCTGCTGACCACGTCCTGCTCGGCCACAGCGTCAGCCGCGTCGACTGGCGCCGGCCAGAGCACGTGGCCGTCACCTGCGAGAACGGACGCCGCCTCACCGCCGACCACGTGGTGTGCACGCTACCGCTGGGTGTGCTGAAGGAGCGCGCCGAGCGGCTGTTCGAGCCGCCGCTGCCGGCGCGCAAGACGGCCGCCGCCGCCCGTCTCGGCTTCGGCACCACCAACAAGATCTTCTTGGAGTACGAGCGGCCGTTCCTGCCGGCGGACGTGACGGAGCTGCTGCTGGCCTGGGAGCCGACCGACGAGGCGCTGCCGCTCGCCGAGCGCTGGCAGCGCAAGATCTACTCGTTCGCCAAGATGTCGGAGACGCTGCTGCTGGCCTGGGTGGTGGGCGAAGAGGCTGAGCACATGGAGACGCTGTCGTATGACGAGGTGGGCCGCGTCTGCACGGAGGTGCTCGCCAAGTTCTTGGGCGACCCTTGCGTCCCGCGGCCGAAGCGGACCATCTGGTGAGTGCCGGCGACGCCGACGGCACGGTCGGCGGAGCCCACGTCTGAGTGAGTGGGTGAGCGCAGAAGAATGGTGTATGGGAGAGTAGGCACGTTTGCGTGGAAAACGCTCGTTAGAGGAAATGCTGCGCTCTTTGTGCGCGGCGCGTTTTCGACAAAACGGAAACAGTAAAAACAAATAGAAAACTGGTTTGGACGTTCGGCGAACAACGGAAATCAACCTAAAATCATTGGAGACCTTAATTCGGGGCAGAATTTTGTGTCAGTCACTGGAACATGTCAAGGTTTGGCAAGCGTGTGGCGGCTGTAGACAAAACGACAGGTCGGTGCCTTTGTCCTCTCATTTTTATTTATTCATCCCTACTTATATTTCGGTCGGTGTGTATGCGCTGGTCAAGTCATAAGCTGTTGCCCGTTTTTATCCTTTTCTGTACCCGACATGCCGCGGCGCTGCTTGGCGCCCCATTCCGATGTAACATTCAAAAATGGTCATATTTGCACCATTCAGACATACACACACGATTCCAGCTCCGGGTGGCGAAGTCAGCCGTACTCTCGAGGCTCGTACACCTACGTGAAGACGGGATCTTCTCAAGACGACATCTACGCCCTCAACGCGCCGCTCTGCTCCGAGGACGGCCAAACGGTCTGTGAAAGGCGTACAGAGGCAATGCCGTTTACTCTTTCGCTCGCAGATGCCTGGGCCCTACTGCGCGATATTTTCACTCGTTCTCTGTGCCCCCGAGCTAAAGATGCCGCTCTGTCGGCTGCCGTGGGCGTGGAGAGCCTTTCCAGCTCATGACCCCGCTGCTGTTGCGGTGTATGTCGATGTTTTGCGCCCCCTCATTTTCTCCGTGAATTCCTCTGTGAAGTGGTTGGTGGCGCCCGCAAGCTGTCAATCGAGTTAATGTCGCTGCGCCGCGGTCTGCCCCCCACCCCCTCCCCCAGCCTCGCGTGCCGTGCCTTCCCCTCTGACACGGCCGCACCCCCAGCACGCGCGCCTTGCCATCCCCTGATGTCGCCGCACCCCCAGCCTCGCGTGTCACGCCGTCCCTCTGATGTCGCTGCACCCATCCATCCACCCCATCCCCGCCGCCGCCTCGCGTGCCGTGCCGTCCCCTCTGATGTCACCCTATCCCAGCCTCGCGTGCCATGCCGTCCCCCCTGACGCAGCCGTGCCCCCCAGCCTCGCGTGCCGTGCCTTCCCCTCTGACATGGCCACATCCCCAGCTCGCGTGCCGTGCCGTCCCCTCTCATGTCGCCCTACCCCAGCCTCGTGTGCCATGCCGTCCCCTCTGACGCAGCCATGCTCCCCAGCCTCGCGTGCTGTTCGCCGGCGAGCACTGTCATCCGAGCTTCTACTCCACGGTGCACGGCGCCTACCTGACGGGCCGCAGCGTGGTGCAGCAGATCCTGGCGGCGCCGGCCGCCTCCGCCGCGCTCGAGCCGGACGCTGAGGACGCCGACCTCAGTGCCTGGGTGGCCGGCATGGGCGTGGCATAGTGACCGACCCAGGAGGGGAGGGGCAGTGGTGCAATTACAATTGGTGCGTATGTGGTGGTCCCAATCACAGCTGGTCTGTATGCGCTTTTGGTGCAAACAAGTAGTCTTGGACGCAAGGTAGGTCTGCTTTGAGATATTTCTTTGTCACGTGGTTGCTCCCCGAACCGATGCGACTGGTACCGCCTCTGCCAGCGGGGGCGGCGCTCAGTTGGGCTGTGATGCCGGCCAGTAGGTGTACGGGCCGACGAGGGTCAGCTGTAGGGTGCGATGTGCGTCGCATTTAAGACGCGCGCGGACGCCTTGCTTTTGCTGGTATGCCGCGGGTTTGTAAGCGGAAGCTTCATGGTCATGCATAGCACAAATGAATCTGACGCTCGACGTGATGCCCGTAAGGAGGTAGCGTATTGCCAGAGCGTCGCGCGATGCTGCGTATTAGTTACCATTTATTTACAAGTCACTGCCGGTGTACATGTGCATGCCACACACACACGAGTCGCTACTTCTCCACCTGGGATGTGCAATATATGGGTCCTAATTACAATTTGAAATACATGGACCAAGCCAGGGCTCGGTATTTTCCGTCAGCTACCAAGCGCGTTACTCTGCATATCTGGCAAAATTAGCCTCTGCTGGGTTCGTGAGTGCGCGCAGTCAGAGCGCGCTGTTATGAAACGTTCCCGCGCGCCAGCGTCTGGTGATGTGGTGTGGTGTGGGACCGCTGAAGGCCTCCGGTTGACGCGGTGCAGTCAAACACGGCGCAGCAGCGCATGCGGAGGCGGTTAGTAGGTGAAACACGGCGTGGCTCTTGCAAGCGAGATCTACAGCCGGGCTCCAGGCGCCACGGTCATGACCTGGCAGACTGCACACGGGGCTGGGCCGCCGTCGAGGAGCTGGCGCCACCTGTCTGGGGACTGTGATCGGCGGTCGGAGGAGGGAGGGGTGGACGGCCCAGTCAGCGCCGGCGACTCCAGGGGACGGACGCTGCCGGGCGTGTGCCCTGGTTCCAGGCCCATCCTTCCGGGGGATTCTGGTGCGATGTCGCTGGGGCGCGCTGCGCTCCGAGCCACCCACCCTGCCGGCCGCCGGTGCTAAGGGTCCACGACCCTGACCTCCAGCGACCCTAAGAACCACGACCCTTAAAGCCGCCGGCCCTGGTGGCCACCACCCCCGGGGCGCCACCTCCGACCTCGACGAGGCGTGTCAGTCGGCGCCCAGCCGGCCTCAGAACCACGACGTCCACGCGGCCAGCGCCGACTTGCGCACCATACAGAGCGCGTAGCCGGCGCCGTGGCCGCGCGAGCCGGTGAGTGCCAGCAGCACGTCCACGGAGAGCACGAACAGGAGCAGCGTGCCCAGCAACAGGCCGAACCGCGTGCGCCGCGACTGGGCCCGCCACTGGCGCTCAGAGAGCCGCTGCTTCACGTCCAGCCGCTCCTGCAGGCACTCCAGCTGCCGGCACGGACGCATGGGCTCGGATGGGGACGCTGGCCAGGCGGCGGCCGGCACCGGTGCGCTGTCTCCAGTGACGGAGGCGCACTCCAGCAGGACACGCCTAGCGGAGCTGAGCATGCTGCTGCGGGTGTTTTAGCACGATTGGTTCTGCGCATGGTTTTGCAAAAAGAACATTTACAATTGCCAATCTACCTTTGGACGTTCATCGACTTTGAGCTGAGGGGTGTACGGGTTACCTTGTCGCTGAGGTCCCTGATCTGCATGCCGATCATGACGGACATGCCGTCTCTTTTCGCCGAGTCCAACACGCAGCGCAGCTTGTGCTCGAAACGCTGATCGTTCGGCAGGTTCTGTGGACACACGGCAGTGCACATTCGTGGCCAAACTTGGGTTTGTTGGCTGCAGGCGTGAATGCGCAGTGAAGACTGGCGCTTCAGTGCTGTAAACTTGACACCAAGACCTTGGTGCTGCCGAGTTTGCCACTTTCGCCAACCACCGCCGACTTTGGTGCTACCCAGTGATGCATCGGGAGAGAGAGTGTGCTAGTCATTGCAATTCTGCCTCATCAGACGTCATTTGGACCAGTAACATTTGACAAGCCTTTGGTAAGGCACCACGTTGTCCCATGGGGAGGTCAGTAAGTAATTCATCAGCCAAAGCCCAAAAGCGCCGCGGTCGCCGCCGGTCAGCCACCTACCTTCCAGAGCTTGGCGAGATCCTTGCTGCAGAGGCAGTCGTTTGAGACGGGCGTGGCCAACAGGAGGAACTTGTCGGAGACGATCTGCTGCGCAGAGAAGCCCTCACAGAGCGCCAGCTCGATGGTCACGTGACATCCCGGCGAGACCACGCCTGAACTGGGCTTGACGCGGAACTTCTCGGGCGATGTGGTTTTCACCTGGTTGGATGAGAACATTTGACCATCTGGCGCTGCGTACGGCGGCCGCAAAACGTGCTTGCCAACCGGCGAGGTTTTGAGTGACTTATGATGCGGTGAATTGCGGTCAGTGATTAATCACAGCGAATGATCTTTGGATGGCAAATGTAAAAAACGTAACGCAAAATATATTTTCTTATGATGCATAGCATAGGTAGTGGCAAAGTTCATGGTGGTAAATGCCTGCTGTCAGGTTGTATGGTTGATAAGCGTTATGTAAGCGACTCGGATGAAAAATAACCAGTTGCCATGTTTTTTATGGGATTGTCACAAAATGGGGCGTGTCTATGCAGGAATGTTAATATGCTTGTTGGGACGTATTTACCTTGAATGCAACAGACCCGGCATTGATGTTATTGAGCGTCAGAGGAATTCTTGCGTTTGGTAGGTCGCTGGGAAACCGGACCTCCTCCCCAGGCGATACCGTCAGGAGGTCCGCTGCAAAGTAAAGTCACACGGCGCTTTGATACAAGTTAAAGACATCTGTCCCTAATCGTGTATGTGTTAAACACCTTCGTGTGCAGTTTTTAAGCAATTATGGGCGATGTATTCATCGCTTCGTCTCCTTCGCCAAGTTTGCCTGTCAAATGCTTGAAAGAATCATACTTATATCATCCGGCGATGATCGGAAAAATCAAGGCGTGCAGAACGTAACTTAACCCAAAGTTTTTCATTGACCACACAATAATCGTAAGCTTTGTTCGAGGAATAAAGCGTACCCAAAGGCAAACGTAGTTATGGCGAAGGCAAAAGCACAACTCCCTTACCAATCTCAGCTGCATCGCATCCCATGTTCGATTCGTCGACTCGTTTTCGTTCTCGATTCACGTTTTGGATTTTACTGCGAACTACCTGTCGTGATATTGTGCGTGTTAAAGTCATGCATGAATCAGCGTTTTACGTCAGCGTGCGTATAGACTGTCAATCAAACGCGTAGGTTCACTGATTTCTACAACTCTCCGAGGTCTTAGGTCCATGCCTGTGCAGAACTTCACATGCACATCGCAATTTTGGGGGTGACTCATCGCATCAGAAAATGTTTTTAAAACACGTGACTATTCTGCGAAGGCTACTCGCAAAACAAGACCTGTCTGAAATCGTTAACTGGTCTACGTTCCATTTAATAGGTCAGTTAGAACACATGGAATTATCGGTGCGCGCTTATGGCATATCTCAAATCACTGTAAAATGGCGGTTTCCAACGACAAAGATTATCATGATGACCAAGTTCAGTCGGACAGTGCATTGAAAGTCTTCTGCAGACTGCAAGATGCTCGAATACACAAGATACCAGCTGGTTTTCTGTGAGTTATTGCAACATTTTGTTGGTTTCATTGAAGCAGTATCCTTATTAAATGCATGGGATGCATATGGAAGTTAAAATATCAGCGACGCTGTAGTTAGCATCAGTGCCAACACGCCTGCTACCTGTGTCACATCAAGCACTGTTTAAGTGCAACTCATAGGCACCTGTCATGTTACATGCAACCCTCAGATCAATGAAACGTCTACTTCCGCTGACTTCGACAGCATTAGCATATGTGTACTCCAAGAATATGTATTTGGCTGCGTGCTACGCTACTGGATGCTGTCAACTCCAGCCTTTGCTTGGTGTTCAGATTGTTTAGCAGAGGTGACCACAAATTATCTTCCGTTACGTATAATCCATTGACTGAGCACGTGGACAAATTTGAAGTCATTCCGTTCATTCGCTTAAGAAATTATTGCAAGTTGAAGTTAATCTGTTAATTCGCATAAAAATCCATTCGAACCCAAAGTGAATCCGTCGATCCGTTATCATTCAGAAGATATTTTCTAGCATGCGATTTTTACTCCGGCATCTTCAAGAGCTGGAAATAGCTTGATTGCGTCGTTCCCGTCCAATCATCGTATTGCAATGCAGATGCTAAGCAATGATTTTACGTGCATTTGATAATCGCGCCATTTTCCTGAACGGTTGTAACCTAGAGCTGAGAATCTACCGCGATTTTTTTATAAAACCTTTTCATGGATTGATGAGGCTTGGATTCGACAAGCAAATTGACCAAAAAAGATTCGATCCAACGGTATTTCAAAACTTAAACATCATAGATTTCGCTCTTCTGGGCTCATTCCATTGATTCCAGCTAACGACCGTGCTCAATTCGCTTCTCCTAATGGTGCAAAATGATAACTTGGCCGAAGGAATAAAGGGAGGCAACGGCGCCGGACCTTGTAAATGTTGAAGTTTTTTGGTGAGGTTTGAGTCACGTTGTAGGCATCTTCATGCAGCAGTAATAGATAAGTCTATGGTAGAATACAAGCAAAGGTGGGAATGGTTCCGCATCCTTTTCCAAACACTGGTTCGTACCAAGTATATGCATCTGACCTGCCAATAAGCCAATGGTCGCGCCGGGCATGAAGTGCTCTCAGGGGAAATGACACAGAGGACACGAAGCTTGCAAGATGTGTTCCTCAGACGGCAGGCTTGTAATAATCCAACACCTGTTTAGGACGAAAATTGTAGCAGGAAAATGTGGGCATGGAGAATAATCTTATGCATTTATTTGCAAATTCAGTGAATTGGTTCCAGGAGGGAACAGTAGTCTCTCGAGATTCGAACCTTACTTGTCAGGGTTTGGATGTCCGTTTTCAGGATCGACGGATTTCCAAAATCCGAGTCAGTTAGATTATATTCCAATTCTACGAATCCGAGCCTTCAGCTTGAGTTGACACCCACTTCTTCCATCACTTCTTGGACAGCTTTCCTTTCATGACGACTTAAGCTATCCCTTGCCTCTTCCGAACGCCTGGGGCATATTACTTACAACGCCCGTATTTCATCTGCAGCTCTCATATCGCCTGTGGTCGTTTACTATATATGAATAATTAGAACCAAGCCCATCATCACTGCACTGAATCATTGAAAACTGTGGCAGCCAAAATGCGCGTGTAGAACCTTAGATACATGTCGAAGGCTACATGCATCTAACTCGACAAATTCCGTCAACAGCATGACGTCCTGGGCGCCGTGTAGACATCTGTTGGGCTGCCTCGCACTCGTCTGGCTCATACTGGCTCTGGCTCGGCTGGCTCATACTGGCTCTGGCTCGGCTGGCTCATACTGGCTCTGGCTCGTCTGGCTCATACTGGCTCTGGCTCGGCTGACTCATACTGGCTCTGGCTCGGCTGGCTCATACTGGCTCTGGCTCAGCTGGCTCATACTGGCTCTGGTTCGGCTGGCTGATACTGCTGCCGGGCTCCTCTGTCTCATACTGGCTCTGGCTCGGCTGGCTCATACTGGCTCTGGCTCACCTGGCTCATACTGACTCTGGCTCTTTTTATTTGGATGGAGGCCTTTTATCAGATCGGGGCTGGGTCAACCCTGCGTCCCACGCCAACCTTCAGATTATGCCCCGCGTGGGTAAGCTCATTGAGCACTGAGTATGCGTGCGTACGTGTAATCGCAGGATAACGGAAGAGTCAGCTGAACCAGCAACGCTGTTACAATCAACTTTTATTGCGCATGGCATTGATATGATAGATGTTTCATTTTTCACACGTTCGAAGTAAACCGGGCGAAGGTCGCTTTCCCGCCATAGGCACAACAGCTTGCAACAGTGTCCACAGACGTACACCTTGCTCGCAATTCTTATTTATTGAAAAGTGTGGGCAAAGGCATTCTCAACGTGAGGGCATCTGCCCAAACATATTTGGGAAAAGCTGAAGGCCGTGTTCTTAGAGTATGCGTGAAATCAACAGTGACAATAATGAACATGAATTCGCTAACATTTATATTCATTAAAATGCATATGTTTTATCAATGAAATCTTGCTGTGACGAGAACCTGCGCATATATGGATTGTGATAGCCATATCTATTGTGGATACTGGACTGGACACTGTTCTTGTGAATGAATGACCAAATGCACCACAAATAAACAAAGCACTGATTGGTAGATCATGCACCAATCTAATTTTAAGTACGCAAGAAAGAAACGGAACCTGCACTCCTTCATCTTCACAAAACCAGGTGCCTTTGTAAGTAGGTGATGAAAATATACAATATATAGTAAGAAGGTAATTAAAACAAAAGACAAATAATCATGGTACACACACAGATACGTATATATATATATATATATATATATATATATATATATATATATATATATATAATGGCAGGCCAGAACATAAGACACAAATTGCGGCGGGGCTTGTCGACCTGTTCACTTATTACGACTGCCCCGATCTGCCCCCCCCCCCAATCATTTTGAGAAATTGACACCCATGGTTAAATCTGATGCAACAACGGAGTGTTAGACGAGGCCATACACCTCTGAGATAGTTCCCCCGGCAACATAACAATTGAATGAAAAAATTTCATTGGCCTAGGTTCAGGTATTAAGGTCAGAGCTAGGTCAAAACCGACCTGCATTATGATTTCAAAGCTTGCTGTGTGGGGGGGGGGGGGTAGTTTCTGTTGCCAATTTCGACTTAATTGATAATAGGAACCGCATTCTACATCCGTCATGGACGTCTTAAAGTCAGGATAGGTCACTGGCCTAAAATGATCCGGGTCGACATTTTGTTGTAGGAGCATACTGCCTACCTAGGAGCATACTGCCCCTTTTTGATGCTTACTCAAATGCAAAACCTGATCACCATGAGGTCAAAAAGGGTCAGTGACCTTGAATGGGCACCAGTGATCTTTTGCTTAGAACAGGTATCTAGGTTCAGTGCACTTTAGGCACAATCTGGAGTTTGACCTTCTCTGACCTTATTTGACACAAAGGTAGGAGGTGATGAAACTTACTTATTGAAACTTATTTGACCCAGGACTTTTTTAGGAATTTCGGCACGAGTGGGATCGTGTACAGGCCAATACACCCTGTAAATTTAAGGTCTCTAGCTCTTTTAGTTTCTGAGAATTCAGGGGGTCATATTGACCCCACGCCCACCGGATCGAAAGGCATTCAACCGGCCACCCGGGCGCGTTTTAAATCGCAATGATTGGGATTTACGTCTCACCGACTGCCAGGAATATTTCGAGGCGGATGCCTTTCTTATGTATCATGTGGGGTGTGGTCGTAGCGTGGTCGGAGCCTCAGGTCTCAGGAGGATCAATTGGGCCCCGCTGAGATCTCGGGAACTTAATAAGCTAGAAACACCAAATTCACAGGGTGTCTTTACCTTTACGCGAACTTACTTAGGTCAAAGTTTTGGCTTTTGAGGTCATGACCTTCAGGTCAAGTAAGGTCAAAAAGGTCGAATTCCAGGTTGGCCTCCAAAGTGCCCCAGAACCTAGGCAACTGTTTCTAAGCAAAATTTCACAAGCCCATTTGAGGTCAGTGACCTTGTTTGACCTTTTGAAGGTCAAGGTGACCAAAATTATGCAAGACTGCTCTGAGTTTTGCATTTGAATAAGCGACAAGGATTACCCTAGGCAGTATGCTCCTAAAACAAAATGTCAACCCGGGTCATCTTAGGCCAATGACCTATTCTGACCTCTGAGAAGTCATGGAAGATGTGTAGTGCGGTTCCCACTGTCAATAAATTCGAAATAAGTACCACAAACTATCCCATACAGCAAGCCCTAGAGTAATAAATCAGGTTGGTTCTGACATGGTCTGACCTTCATACCTGACCTAGATCAACGTAATTTGCTCATTCAATATTTTTGGTGCCTAAAAAGCATCTCAGAGATGTATGGTTTTGTCAAGCACTCAGTTATTGTATCAGATTGGACGATTCCCTAGGAATTGCCTTCGCTGAAACCATGACCTGACTTTGACCTGCCATAGGTCAGCGACCTTACGAGGTATATATCAATGTTTAATGTCAAACAATCCGCTATTCAATTGCATACAGCTATGCAAATTTTGGTGCGGCTACGCCGCGCCGTTCGGAAAGCATTCTCGAAAAACCTTCGGGGGTCAATTTGACCCTCACCCCACCCGAGCGCGTGCTAACAATTATACCACCACCACCTCGAATCTGGATCTGGATCGGCCGGGGCACTCTTGATCACATCCGGAGCCCTCAACTTTAGTCGTGGGCTCTTCCCATGTAGTCAGAATGGTCTTATTCTATCGCCGAAAGCTCCATGTGTGCTTGCGAGCGTCAGTGCAGGTTAGCCTGTTCGTGTGAACGGACCTCAATAAATTACCACATGTCCAGAAGTCTGAGATCACAAGCTGACTCTCATCCCTGGCGCCCGGGTGTTTGAGGAGCAGTCGTCCAGTCGTCCAGTCGTCGTCCGTATGTCCAGAAGTCACAAGCTCACTCATCCCTGGCGCCCTGGTGTTTGAGGAGCAGTCGGATATGCACCGACCGCTTTGAACACGTCATTGTCGGACGTAATTCTACGCGCCGCCGACGTCGTGCACGTCATTTCCGTTGGTTTCTGAATTCGTAATACTTAGTTTATTTGTGCGTCACGCTCTTAATCCGTGCTGAGTGCTAGGATATTTTGTACTCCTCCGTGACAGTGAAAGCAAAAACTCTGCATTGGTCATCACTCATCAGCTGATCACATCGACTGGCCGACTAGCCGCAAATAAGCAGAATCTTGAAATTTAATAATGCGAACATTTTGCCGGAACGTAAACCGGAATAGGAACACTTTGGGGGAGGGGCCCCCAATTTCAATGGGGCCACAACACTGCGTCCCCCTCCCCACAGGACGGTATCCTGCATCCGCCCTTGGATGGACCTCGGTGCTCTGTTTTGTTTTTTAGAACACCAAGTCCCCCCTTTCCAACTGTTTATCCCCGCTCACCGACATCGCGCCAACCCCAGGGTAACATAACGCTATGTTAAAGACATTGACAATAGACCCGTGACAACTCATGAATCCTCTCCTCACTCCTATCATGGGTTTCGGCCCCTCCTATGTCATTTTTCTTCTTCTTTTGGTGCTACCGCAGTCTAGGAGCGCTATGGTGATGATTTGATATGCCTGTAGAGCTTTTGTAATCATTTGAATGATCTTTTACGACTTGTCTGCCACCTGTAGCCAGATGTTCACCTTCCCATGAAAACGCATGCTCATCGTACATAACAGTGCACCTATCAGCGCTGGCATCTCACAACGCTGTACAAAGTCGCGTTCACCAAGGCCTTAATGCCCGCAGAAGTTTGGGCGGTTACGATAAGAAGCCCGGGAGTACCAGGTTGACCCATGCCGCCCATGGGTCCGGTCATGCCTCCGTCCCCGCTCCTCACACCCAAACGACTATCAAGCACCAGACTTACGACGTTACGCGAAACAGAAAATTCTAGTCATTAATTAGTCAACCATGGCTCAACGACCCTGCAATGTCAGGCCATGTGCCGTTTATGTGCTCATGTCCTGTGTGCGTTTGTTTCTCTGCTAGTGACAGGATTGTCCCTTTATTGTGTTACAGGCGTGTTTTGTTTACCCCGATGTGCCCGAGAGGAAAACCACCATGTGGCTTTTACGCCGTTCGTGTGACTTCAGCAGCACGCAAGTGCGTCACCCCCTTCTCTCACCTCCAAAAAAACGCGTGAAACGATGTGTCTTTATTGCTATGCTAGTAAAACATTTTTTTGTATTTTGACATGGTTTATGGAAGTAAAACACTTTTTGTACAAATGTATGGCACTAAAACTTATTTTAGCATTTTAACATGTTTTATGAGACTAAAACTTTTTTTGCATTTTGGCATGTTTTTATGCAAGTAAAACATGTCTTTTGTAATTTTTAGTGCTTTTCTAAGCAAAATACATGATTGATGAATGACAATGACCGATGTACAGACAGCCCGCCCCGCTAATCGGGGCCCAGCGCTACCTCGGGGCGCAACGCACGCATGAGTACACAAATGCGAGCACTGGCCGCCTGGACAGCGAGTACAGGCGCGAGCCCAAACACCCCGGGCTGCGCTGGACCTCTCGCTGCCGCGCAGCGGACGCATACGCTCCAGCGAACGTCTCGGTCAGAGCTGTCATTCTGCCGACGCGCTCGCCGCTCTTACTAAAAACACATTAAAAACAGGTAGACATCGGTGGAATCAAGCCACGGATAACTGCCGAACTACGGATGAGAGTTGTTCGACAGCTAGCGCGCCACACAATACATGTCGAGTCACACAAGGCAAGTCAAGTCAACACCGCGCTCCGCCCGTTGCATTTTCGCAATCACTTCGTCCACACTTCCACATAATCACTTCGTCCACACTTTGGTACTGAACACCCGTTCGCGCGTGTTCAGTACCAAAGTATGGACATGGTTTTTGGCTTCACACACGCGAGTCCTGCTAGTCTCTGCGCAGAGTCATGGCACCTCATCGCACAGTGTTTGCCTTGCCGTCGCCGAAACACTCGTGCCTCGCACCCAGCAGATATCAGCTGCCGCGGATCCGTCCGAGATAGCGTGAGGCGTCTCTCGCAGCCCCATGCTTTGCTCATTGTTCCTACCGTTCTAAATGTCCTACCCCGTCCCGTCTCACATCTTAGGATGGGCCTGATCCCAACGGCTCCGAAAGTCTCATCCCCCTCGTTTTAAGCCCGTCCCCCCCCCCCCCCCCACCCCCAACGCCGGTTGCCGTATTCTGTGGCGTTCTCCGCTCAGGGGCGGCGTAGCTCGTTCAGGGGCGGCGTACCTCGGACACCAGCTGACCCTCGTCGTCCTGCTGGGGCGGCCGGCGCACCCGCCTCTCCTGGCTCAGCACCTGCGCGCAGGCCAGACCCGGCGAGCCGGCCGGGGTCAGCGGCGTCTCAGGAACCTCCTCCCTGAGCGGCGCCTCCTGTTCTTCTTCGATCTCCTCGGGAAGCACCTGTTCTTCTTCGGTCTCCTCCTCGGAGAGCATGTCCTGCTCTTCTTCGATCTCCTCCTCGGAGAGCACGTCGTGCTCTTCTTCGGTCTTCTCCTCGGAGAGCAGGTCCTGTTCTTCTTCGATCTCGTCCTCGTCGAGTAGCTTCTCCAAGTCTTTGACAATGTCCTTGTACAGCTCATCACTTTCATCCATCTGCGAAGCAAACGGCACCGGGTTACAACCAACATCGCAAACACAAAGCTACATCGTCGCAATCCACAGGCATTACGTGCATTACTACAGGCATTACTACGTGCGCCTTGATCGCAGGTCGTCACGTGTGGTAAACAGGGTTTACAGGCCAGAACCGCAAGAGCACAGAAATACACGGCGCCAAAACACCTTGGCTAGGCTTTTCAACAACCTCTCCCATCCAGCTTCCTCCGCCGCTGCTCACCATTATGGGCGAGATGTTCCTCAGCTGCTCCGCACGCTCCCGCTGTCGGATCTGTATTTCTTCGCCATTAAACTCCCACATGAGGTTGCGCACAGTGCGCCTCCTTGGGCTGGTCGTCCACGCCGGGGATCGGCGCCCAGATACTCGGCGGGGTGGCCGGCCGTGGCGGGATCGGCGGCAGCGGCGCCGCCGGCGACCAATCGGGCGTCTGCGTCGGCAGCGCCCCGCCCGCCCGCCGCACGCGCTCGCGCGCCTCACGAAAGTTGGTGGCCCACGAGGCGCCATCGTATCGTTCTCGCAGCCAGAGCTTCTGGGCCGGAGTCAGCCTGGGCGAGCCGCCAGCCGGCGGCGGCAGTGGAGGCGGCGGCGGCTGCCGCCGGTGCCGCGCCCAGGGGCTTGCCGTCACCGCCCTCGACGCTGCCTGGTGGCCGGCCATCCAGGGGAACTGCTGCACCGCCCGCTGCCGTTGCTGCTCCCACACAAATGACGCCGACTCGGCCCACGCCAGAAACGGGTGGGTGATGGCGGTCAAAAACTGCAACGTGGCTCGCACTGGAGCGTCACCGAGGCCCTGAGAGGCACTTGTGGCCCAGTTCCCGGCCCCGCCTGGAGCGTCATGACCGGGCCTCCCCTCGGTCGCCTCCAGCCAACTTTCCCCAGACATAGAGCTGTCGTCCTCAACCGGACTGAGATCCTCGATCAGGCCTCCGCACTGTCCGCACGTGCTGTTGCGCTGTCTCCTAGCGCGATCTTTATAGAGCCGCAACAGCTCTTGGTCCCGCGCGACCCTTACCAGTGCTCTGAGGCCATACGTATCACAATCTTCCGTGGTCTCTGCGGCATTATTATCTCCCTGTGTGAAATTGTTCCCATGTTGATCAGCTTCTTCTAAGCATCCCTCACCAGTATTCGAGTGACTACTCCTTTGACTAGAACCGTTCTGGTTCCCGCTTCGCGGTATGCCTTCCATCCCGCGGTTTTCACGCCGACAACGGCATTTGGTGCGCTGCTCCGAGGCCGCATTCTCCGCATCCCGGCCTTGATGAATTCCTTCAAGAGTGCTCGGCCTGGAGAAGGTAAAGGGCTCCTCATTTTCTCCAGAGTAGCTATGACGTTGCATCCCCATAGCCGGGTCTGCGCAGTACCAGCGCTGGCTTGACGTCGACCCGTTTCCCATCTCGCGTGAATTCGGCCCCACCGAACCCGAAAAGAGGTAATCGCCATTCTGCTCGGCTCGCTCCGATTGCCACCAGCCGCCTTGCCCGAAGCTCCACAGATTCTCCGCCACCGCGTTGAGCCGCCGGGTGGTGTCGCGTGCCTGTTCCCTTCTCTCCCCACGGCCGCCGGCCGCGCCGCGCGTCTCCTCCCTCCTCACGTCACGGCCGCCGACCGCGCCATGCGCCGCCCCATCCTGCTCGTCCCAGAAGGGAGACGATTCCCTCGGGCCCCGCCTGTGCTGGCCGATCAAGTCTGCAGGTATCTCGCAGCCGACGTAGAGGTTGCCTCGCACGCGCCAGATGAAGGCATCTCCCAGCCGGCGCCACAGGCGCTTCGGCTCCTGCCCGCTCACGCTGCCGTCGTCAGGCAGCGGGTCCCAGATGACGTGCAAGAAGCCATTCTGTAGGCCGTCGCGCACGGCAAACTGGCGCACATCGGGCGCGAACCCGAATCCCTGACAGGAGCCGGCCGTGTGCTCACCCCGGTTCTGGCCATTCACCTCGTCGCGGGGTCTGCACACCAGCTGCTCCGGCCCGTTGTCGTTCAGCAGAAAACGAGCAACGCCTTCGCAGAGGACATAGTGGGTGGGCGGCACCGTTCTCCGGGCCGTTTCTTCGTTCGGCGTCCACACGTACAGCATGTTCTTGACGTGGGGGAGGCTGCTCCTCGCCGCCGCCTGACGCCCTGCGCCTTCGACGTCCCGCTGGCCGCCGCGCTGAAGCTCCCCGCCAGGTTGTCTCGCCGTCGGCTCACGCTGAATCGCCGCGCTCGGATAGCCGTCGTCAGAGTTCATGGGTCCTCGCACAAGCATCCTGTTGAAGTCAGAGCTGAAACAAGCAGCACTGCGGTCAACAGGCAGCCGTCAAGATCAAGGTCAAGGGCTCCCGCAGGCTGGGACGACGCTGGACTGGTGGGCCGCAGCCGAATGAACGCTGGCCAGCACAGAGGCCGCGGTCGGCCGGCCGACGCGACGGCGAGGACGGGAAGCCGAAGTCTGTGGCGGAGAAGCGAGCACTCCCATCTGAGTTATCTCGCTGTGCGGCCGCCGGAATTTAAGTAAGATGACCGGATATAAAGCGGCGACTCTGGACGGCGGCATTAACACTACAATGTCCGCGGGGTGGAAAATTCACAGATTTAATGCGGTTTTGGTGGGTCAGTGACAGTAATGGATTCTAAAGAGCCACCTGTCTAACTCGCTGCCGCCACGCGAGAACCGTGGATCGTTCATGGACCGAGGGCCGGCGACACCTCGCCCCTCCCCGCCCGTCACCTTTACCCGACCAGTACAGAACCCTCACGTACCTGGATAAGGGAGGAGGATAATCCATGTTGTACGGGCTGTGGTGGGGCTGATACATTGGCTCTGCGTAGGGTGTCGTCCCCATCACGGCGGTCGCGCGTGCGGACGGTGGCACGCGCGAAAACGCCGAGCCGGTGCCGCCGCCGAAGGTCGCCCGAGGCACGGCATCCTGCCCCTGGCGTGCTTCGGGCGCTACCTCTCGGTGATAAATGGCCGGCGGTGGCGCGGCGCGCGCTCCAGCTCCTCCCACCACCGGAGGCGGCGCCACGCCGTGCTCCAGCTGGCCGGCAGGGTCGCGGCCGTGGGTGCCGTTGGGTACCAGCGCATCACCACCGCCGCCGCCACCACCGCCGCCGCCACCGCCGCCGCCGCCGCCGCCGCCGGAACCGCCGGCACCGCCGGCACCCTGCGGCGCCATGGAGCTCCGCTGGCCGTTTCCCCCGTCGCCGCCAGCTGCGGCCGTGCTGTCGGCGGGCCGCTGCGGCGAGCAGACGAGAGAATTGGAGGCGGGCTCGGGAGGCGCGGAAGGTCGGCTCTCGCGGCGATGGGATGGTGACGCAGGAACGAGAGGCGGAGGTAGAAAGGTCCAGCCAAACGGCGGCGGAGGCGGCCAATTGTCTGGATCCTGATCGGCGTCGGGCGCAGCAGGCGGTGACGACTGGACTTCACCGCCCATTTGTTCTTCTGCCGTCACTCCGCTGTCCGTCGAGCAAACCGACTGTTCACGCTCTCGCTCCGAACCCCGGGTTTGGTCGCTGAGGATGGGGAACGTAGTGTGTTACGCTACAGCCAGGTCACCTGACCTTCCTTTCGTGATGAACGTGCGTTTCGTTGCTTAAACAACTAAAACAGCGTTCGTGTGTACTGTAGCAGTTTGCATGATAGCCTTACGGATGAGTCCAGAATGCCTTAGCAGTATTCTCCACAAGCTTGAGCGGAGCTAGTCCGGACCAGAGTGCCCCGAGTCAGAAGGCGGAACTCATGTGAACAAGCCTGGGCAGCCGGCATGATGCGCTGCTCCTTCGAGGCAGTCGGCGGTCGCGTTCGGCGTGCAGGTCCACGGTCGTCAGCAGCCCCTCCCCCCCTCCTCCTCCCCACCACCACCACCACCACCACCACCACCACCACCACCACCACCATCACCACCACCGCGAGACGGAGGGCTGGAACTCACCTCGGGGGCTCCTTGACGGGTGACGAACCCGGCGTCGATGGCGCCTCCTCAAACTGGTCGCCGCCCTCCATAACAGCTCCCGAAGTGGTCACGTCCTCCAAATCCTGTCAGTCCGACACGACAGAGCTCACTTGACGCAGCTATCGAACATCGAATGGGCAAGTACAACACGTCAGAACATCGCCGTAGCTGGCGTGTCGTAACAGACATGGCGCGAAGGAGGCGGCAGGACGGTATCCATATTCAGCACAAATCGACAACTTCTTCGATTTTAACGAAGTACGGACCAACAATGGCCCGAGGTGCGCTCATGCGCCACACAAAGGCGCTTCGTGGGGAATTGATCGGTTTGGCATTTCGGTGACCTGATACCAAAAAATCGTTATATTTTGACAAACATCCCATATGTTATACATCATCCGTTCAAAAACGTTACACAGATTTCTACCATTTTGGTCTAGGTAGTCGCCCAAGAATATGTCTAATATTTATTTTCTTACAAACTTATGGGTAGTTGCCTGACGCATTTTTCCACTAGCTTTAGTAAGGGCCGAACAAGCTGGAAAATCGGCTCTTCGAATTCCTTTAAAACAGCTGCAAGTATCGATAAAACAGTAGTATTAGCCTCATTCCTCGGGGAGAAACCAGGAGAATGGAGATATGGTTGGGTAGACATTTCCGCAACATGCCTTTATTGAAACAATAGCAGAAGTGAATTCCAGTATCGTAGAGCTGCAAGCATCGTACATGGCCGATAACGCGGACATCTATGAGTTTTTCGGTGCATCAAAAGTTGCGACACTTGAAGCTGACAGGAGATATCTTCGAAATTCGGCACGGACGTAATGCTAGATAACAAATATATCTCTCAGATTCTCGAGGAGCATAAAAGATGTGAGCTTTGGACGTCACCAAGTACCAGATCGATATCCGGCACTGCCCATTGTAGCTTTGGTTCGGTCAAATTAATTATTCCGTCTTTAAACTTCATCAGTTCTTCCGGATTTTACAGCATCACATAATGTTATTGTGTTACATACCGGTGATATTTCCTCTGACCTTTACAGGATGCAGTTTTCGGTGTCCCTCAAAAAGCCGAGAGATGTCCTAAGTTGTCCTGGATGTTTTGCACCTGTAGTGATTTTCAAGAAAGTCGAAGTGGTCAGGATTTTCCAGGCCATAGGCCATGCTTAAGTCAGTGGAAATTAATGCATCGGGATGGATGCTATTCAATGCTGGACATTAATGATTGCATCTTTCGGGCTCGGCGTAATTTGATCAAAGAATTGGCACCATCCGACTCGGCTTTGACCAACACGGTTACTTAAGATGTCAGCTATAAACTTGCGCGTGCGAGGTCATTACGTGACCTGACATGATCTCAACCTGGTTTGGTCGCTGTACTCTTCACATTAAACCTTGAATGCAATTTCCATATACATAAGATTAAAATATGTTTAAATGGGTTTCAAAGTATCGCTGTGCCCGCCTACGGTGGCATCATGCGTTATGTTTGTTCATGCAGAATATCCATATAATATTCCGTAACCTCTATGTCATAACATTCGATGCCAGGTCATAAGGTCCCGTAATTATGTCAATAGGAAATGAACCATTGGGTCATAGCCCGCTTATTCCAAATGGGTATGAATTATGTTTGAATTGGTGTCATTTGACTCGGCATTTTACATTGTGTGGAAAGGTGTCATTTATACTTATTTGCGCAAGGTCACCACGGGACATGTCATGATCTTAGTCTTGGTAAAGTCGCCTTATGATGGTAACTGGGGCTTAAGGGTGGCTGCATTACCGCCTTCGCATTACAGCTTTGATGCTATTGATATGCACATCAGAATGAAAGAGGTTAGGTCGGTGTCAAAATATCGTCGACCCATCCTGCTCTTGATGCACTGTGTGTTACATTTGTCCATGCCAAGTGTTGATCTGGCATTCGGTGACCTCAAGGGGTCGCAGCTTTTCATTTCGCGCGAAAAGCTGAGAGGAGCCCTCGTAAACTTGGATGTTTCATACCTTAAGTGATTTTAACTCGCTAGCCGCCGAATCCACAAGGAGACTAGATAGGTCCTGAACCAACCGCTGGCTGTCAGTGTTCAGTCCTGCAGTCAGATTTTTAACACCCGCTGCGGTGGTGGGGCAGCAGGACATACCTCCGGCCGAGTAAAAAGCGGCTGAGGTGAGCTCAGGAAAGGGATAGTGGAGGGAATAGGAAGTGGCAGAAATGTTGTGAAAGAGGAGAAAGAGAAGGATGAGAGAGGGAGAGAGAGAAAGAGAGAGAGAAAGAGAGAGATAGAGAGAGAGAGAAGAGAGAGAGAAGAGAAGAGAGAGAGAGAAGAATGATAGAGAAACAGAGAAGATATACAGAGAGAGAGATAGACATAGAGAGATATACATAGATAGAATAGACAGAGAGAGAATGACAAGAGAGAGTTTGCAGGATAGAGATGACAGAGAGAGATTGTGACAGAGAGAGATTGGACAGAGAGAGAGATGGACAGAGATAGAGGACAGATAGAGATGGACATAGAAGATACAGAGAGAGAATGGACAGAGATAGAGATGGCGAGAGATGGACGAGAGAAGAGAGATAGAGAGAGATAGAGAAGAGAAAGAGAGAGAGAGATAGATAGAGAGAGAGAGATGAGAGAGAGAGAGGAGGTAGAAGAGAGAGAGGAGGAGAGAAGAGAGAAGGATAGGGAGAGATTGAGATCTCACCTCCTAGGCGCAGCACCTCTCGAGAGTCGATAGAGAGAGAGAGAGAGAGAGAGAGAGGAGAGAGAGAATTCAGCCACCTTTCAGTGCATTTGATTCCAAGCCTGATTTACATAAGCATATGCCTATAAATGTCGCAAATTCATGTCGCCAGATCACGGTTCAAGTGACGTCACGCAGTCCGCTGATAGCCACTAACTCGAATTACCGAGTGCCGTTCCGGCCACCCTCCACTCCCTCCTCCCCCTCAGCCGCCTTCCCCGCACGCACGGAAGAGAAGAACTGTTCCCGGGAGGGAGGGCAGCTTTCCGAGGTTGTCGCACGAGTTGGAAGGGGTTCGTCAGGTAATGTGCAGGACATCCGTTATCAATGACAGTTCAGTGGATATCCTGCTGAGGTATCTGACCAGGCCGGAGCTGCGACAGGGCCGCAA